TCACCTTCGGCGCGACTGTGCACGAAGATATCATCGAAGTAGCTCGGTGCGAAGTCACGGAGCGGGCGCAGCACATGGGAGACCATGCGGTTAAACGTGGCCGGCGCGTTCTTCAGACCTTGGGGCATCACCAGCCACTCCCAGAGCATGCTGCTCGGAGTGCTTACCGCTGTGAGAGGTATGTCACACTCTCGCATGGGTATTTGGTAGAACCCATCGGTCAGATCGATGGCGCTGTAGATCACGCTTCCCGCCATAGAGTCCAGCACCATGTCCTTGCGCGGGATTGGCGTCTGCGCGGGTATGCGGGTATGGTGGCATCGTTCAACTTGTTGAACGCGTGAACAATGCGCCACCCGCCCGTTGCCTTGTTGACGCAAAAGGTCGGGCTGGAGTGTGGCGAGATGCTTTCGCGCACGTGGCCTGCCCGGCGGCGGCTCTCGGAGAAGTCGTCGATTGCCTTCACCTGGTCACGTGGAAGTGGCCACTACCGCGTCACGCAGTACTTCGTCCCAGGCGCGAGGTCGATCTCGTGGCGCACGCCTCGGTCCGCCGGGAGCTCAGCGGGGATCTTGTCGGGGAAGATGTCCGCGTACTCGCGGGCAGTTTCGTACACGGGGTTACCGGACTCACGCAGAGCTACCCAGGACTGCGTTGCGAAGCGCTTCTCGCGCGCTGTCTTGGGCTCGGTGTGCTTGGGCCTCGTCGGCGCATCCTCGACCTTGACCGCGTGCAGCGTATCCACCGGGACCGCCTCGGTGATCAGACACACTTGCTCGATCTCGCCTGTCTTCAGGTCTCGCAGGAAGTTCTTCCAGGAGAGTCCTGGGAGACGCGTGATTGTGTTGGCATCGCGAGGCGGACTCGCGACTTCGATGACGCGCGATCGTCGTGGAGCGCCCTCCACGTACTCGAGAGCGCACACCGACTCCTTCAGTGGGTCCTTAGTCGCTGACGGTTCTCGACGGGGCTTCAGGCGGCGTCGCTTGGACTTCTTCTTTCGCTTCGAGCGGGTGCTCGAAGAAGACGCATTGCTCTCGCTCGACGATGATTCACCCTCCTCTAGGTGTGAGAGGCCACAATCGATCACACCGGCGGTACGCGGCTGCACCACGCTCCCAGACGCAACATCGTTGTGCGGGAGCGACTCATGCTCGACCGCCTGCTCAACTTGTGGCGGGAATCCACGCTCGACCGCCGTCTCATTGTGCGACGGGAACCCACGCTCGACCGCCGTCTCATTGTGCGACGGGAACCCACGCTCGTCCGTCGACTCGTTGCTCGACGGGACCCCATGCTCGACCGCCGACTTGTTCTTACTGTGTGGGAGCGCACGTCGCTCGACCACGCGTCCGTCATCGCGTCCACGTGATGTCATCCGGACATCATCATCATCATCCAACAGCACGGCACATGCCATGCAGAGAGGGCCATCATTCGCTCTGTGCACAACTTGCGTCGTGGCTGTCTTGTCCACGATGGTAACGTGAGGCCAGTCTCTTGGAGCCACCAAGAGATGCGTGAACACTTCACGTACGTCGAAGCCACGTCGACGCTTGACTGACCGAGCCAGCTAGTCAATCTCTGGGTGATACCGTGCAAGCCACGGGATCCCCCAGAATGCAGTCGAACGCGTAATCCATCTCGATCACCAGGAAGTCGTCGTTGCTGCGGAAGCCGTCGAACGTGTACGGCAGGGACACCTTGCGTCGCGCGACGCGGTGGGCCTTGCCATCCGCAAGCTTGACTTCCACCTCGCCCGGACCCTTCCGGACGCGAACGCTCGCAGGAAGCACCGACAGACACGACGCGCGGAAGAAGTTGTTTGTCGCTCCTGAGTCGAGGAGCGCGTGCAGTGGACGTCGGGCGCCGGCGACATGGAGGCTGACGATGATCAGCCTCGAGTCGCCACTCGTAGTGGTGTCATTAAAACGTGCATATAGCACGAGAGGGCTAGAAGGCCGGGTTGCCACCGGAGGACCCGGATCTTCGTTCCAACCAGTAGGGCGCCCCGCACCTACTGGTCCCGGCCGTCTTTTGGTTGGGCGGCCGGGCTAGCGTCGGCACCGACGTGCGCGAGAACTGGGGCTGGCGCGCGGCACTCTGCTGCGCGATGTCCAATCTTCCGGCAGCGGAAGCAAGTCAGAGGACGAGCGCTCCGACCTCCTCCCCCACCATAAGCCGAGCGCCGTCAATCACCCGACGCCTCAATTGCGTTGATCTCCATGGGCTCGGGTGCGGATACCCGAGAGACGTCTGGCATAGCGCGCGCGTACGATGCCGCCACCACGTAGTCCTCGCGGAGCGCGAGGGCGAATGCCTCCTCGAGCGAGGAGGGTTCGACTCTCGTGAGACAGTACCGCGTCATGCCTTCGCGCATCCCGAACACAAAGACATGCACCTGAGATGCCATGTCAATGGGGTGGGTGACAATGCACGACGCAAGGTGTCGTGTCTTCTGGACGTAGTCGCGCATGGACATCTTGCCTTGTTTGAGGGCGAAGAACTCAGCACGAACGCGCGACTCGTCTTGGGGCGGCTCGAACGCGAGCCGGAGGTCACTCTGGAGCGCATCCAAGGTGCGGAACGCGTGCTGGTCGACGACGAGCTTGCCGAGGGCCCACTCCTTGGCCTTCCCGGACAGCCGGGAGAGTAGGAAGTTGACCTTGGCCGCCGGCGCTTCAATCATGCGCGAGGCGATAGCGATGTCGATCTCGCGGAACCAGCGGTTCAGCGGAAGCCGGTCGTCACCCACACCGGAGTATGTCGATGTCTCCAGTTTGACGACGTCGTTCCTCGAGGAGCGCGAGGGAGTTGTAACCCGCCGATTCGCGTCGGCGAGCTCGCGTTCCATAAATTCTTGGGCAGCTTGGCGCTGTTGTTCCGGCATCACTGAGCTCAGCAGCGAGGTGACAACAGCCTCTCCGGACACCGCCTCGAGGCGGTGGAGAGCTTCCCACTCAATCCGCGTGAGATGGGGGAAGGCACCATGCTCCAGGGTTGCCCCTGAAGGTCCGGACGTCAGGACTTGGCTCATCTTGGTCTTGGTCGTTGGAAGGACTACTAAGTGTTACCAGGTGTAACGGGTCAGGTGTGTGTCCGTTACTAGCTTACACGTAGCAGTGAGGAAGCTTAGTTAAGACTCGGATTTAATGAGACAAAGCAGTCAGACTTGGGTAAAATCAACTCTGTTTTATGTTAGGACCAGGGCGGCTACCCCTGGTCTCGTGTGAGCCGCTCAAATGCAGGTCAACGCCTGATTGGCTGAAATGGGGTCTGACTCCCCCAATTCAGCCAATCACGATGACCGTCAGTACACTCTAGCCGTGTACTGACTTAACTACTATATGTACTGTCAATCTACCTACTTATGTAACTGGGGCCCATTACAGTGTGTGTCAGCTCGCTGAGCTTGTGCAAACCCAACATGTGCACGTTGGACAACACCTCCGCTTTAAACTGCAGGCGCTCATGGTCTTCCTTAGCGGCAGTTTGCGGGGCAATGGCGGCGAGAAAGTAAGTGTGACGGCAGTGGTTTAGCCACTGCGTGTGCTCGGAGCCACTGTGCCTCTGTCCTTGGAGTTTGAAAAAGGCGCGGGAACTTCGACTGCTGTGTGTATGCCACATCACTTTGACAAACTCAGTACCTAAATAGAGGCCCTGTATAATTCAATATTTATGTGTTGTCAGAATTATAAGTTGTTGACCCTTTCTTATTGCCGCTACTCTCTGTAAATTGATATCATCGCGAGTGGGTTATTGCACTAAGAAGCTGCTTATCTGGTACAGTAAAGTGTCTCGATTAGGAACACCTGATATACATGGAAAGAAGCAGGTATATTGAGCATTAAAGGTTTGACGCGTCACATGCAAGCTGCAAATGCACTGATTTACTGCAGTATGTAGTTCATGTCGGTCTTCGCGACCAGAGTAGAGTGCAGCCAGCAGTTCTCGATGGGCTTGGCCGACAGATCACACCATGCTTCAGCACACCACTCAATGGCTTTGAGAGCACCGACCTTCGCGGCGACGGTGGCAGATCAGCAGTGGTTAGACGTAGGCGCCTCTGGAACGGTCTGGATGCGGTGGTCACCATGGGACTTGTGAGAAGCAGAGCGAGTTGAATAATGAGGAGTGCAGACATACCGGGCCAGATTCCCGCGCTCACAACGATTATCTCGAGATTCCCGCCCGTGGTCTTTGGATTCCCCTCATGGCTCGATTTGAGAGCGGCGATTGGTGGAATGCTAATAGCCCATTAGCATTCCGAATTAGTATGTATTTTACCAATAGATAACAGATGCAAAACGTCTGACCTAGCGTATGATAATCAGTTTCACAAGAAACTTATGAAAATGCAAACATAGGCGTTTTTTTCTCAGGGCAAGACTTTTTCAGAAAGCAGATGAAGCTATGTCGCAATACACCTGTTGTTTCTAATAGATTTGAATCTCGCCACAAATATCACACCAGCGAGTGAGTGTCCGTAATAAGTACGAACCTATGAAAAACAGTTGGCTACATTTGTGGCTCAAAAATTGATTTTTAGGGGTTCAGTTATCATATCCACGAAACGACGCATGTGTTGCTGTGCTTCAATATCAACTGTTACTGAAAATGGTAATCGTGCTAAAAATCAAGTTGTCGATAGCACACCCACTGAAACAGCGAGCAGGCTTCACCTCACTTTCCAATTTGACACCAAGCCATGGGGGTGGCGGGCCGAAGTACTGCGTTCGTCACACTCTAACCCCTGTCGTGCATTGTGGAGTTTAAGAGGGCGCGTGGTGTGGTATTAGTGGGCAACTGGCATTTGTGACTTCCGTGGTTCTTACCGCTTTGGAGTTGCAGCCTAATCCTTTCTAGCTGCACGGAGCTTGATTACATTCATTCGGTGGCAAGTTGGTTAGTCCGCATACTAGTTCATAGGCAAGTAAAGTAGGGCAAACAGCAAGTCTCAAAGAGTTCTATTTCTTTTCGCATACCAAGTAGAAGCAAGTCTAACGTAGCTCAAAGCAGCCCTTAGAAAGAGAACGAAACCGACTCCTCCGACTCGTACTAAGTCTCGCGCTGAGAACCGGAAGACCGTGTGCTGTAAGGGAGCGCAGTCGCTGGCGCATGCGGTAATGGCGCTGGGCCCTAGCCCGTTCCGTCCGAATGCGGTCACCCATAGACTGGTACGTGGCGAGCACCATGTCGTAATGCTCGCTGTCACGAGCGCGTAGCGGCATTAGACCGACGTGAAAGTTGGTTAGCGCGGTGCACAGTCGAGCGACGCAGTCGAACCGGTTCTCATTCCACTTGAACGTCGCGTAGGTAGCCTTCCACAGCATGCACATTCTGCCGAAGAAGTTCTCCACGAGCACTCGATCCGATGAAACGGCCTTGTTCCGAGCGAGGTCTACCCGGTCCAGAGTTCCTCCGCGCGGCTTCTTCTTTGGCTGGACAGTACGAAGCACGCGCCCAGCACCTTGGTACCCCTTGTCCACGAGCACTGCCCACATTTCCGGGAACTGCGTCGGCACAGCTCCAAGCTCAGGGGCCGACGTGTCGTCCTTGCGCAGCATCTGGCGATGGACGGAGAGCCTGTCCAGCATCATCATCACATCCGAGCAGGATCCAGGCGAGTGATCGGAGACGTCAACCGCGAGGCCAGGGAGTGCCACCGAGCACTCAATCTTGAAGCTGTAGAGCTTGTGCTTCGCCGAAAAGTAGACCTTCTGCTCAGTAAAACGACCACGTGGATGATAGGCCGGCTGGAACTTGACATCGGTCGCGTAAAGCGCATGAGGATAGTTGGCGAAGGTGTTACCGGCCTCCATCTGCGTTGGCATCTTGACCCGCTTAACCAGCTGGGGATACAGCACGGGTTCGACCGTCTGGATGACTCGGTGCACCATCTTCTCCAGCGTCGACATGGCGATGTTGAAGTCGATAGCGTGCTTGTGCCATGTGTCGAAGTGCTTCAACACGGTAAGCGTGACGAACAACGCGTCCTTTCCAGAGATTGACGGTTTACGCCCGCGGCCTTGAGTCCACACAATCGTTACTGAAGGCTCCACGAGGGCCCAAAGAGCGTCCAGCTCCGGGGCGGAGAAGTTCGTCATCGCCTTGAGCGTGTCGTCACCCCCTGCGGCGGTGTACTCAGCGAGGATAGGCGACTCGGCGTCCGATGCTTCGTCTTCCACGTGACGGGCAACGTCGCCGAAGGTCCCATGGCTGGTCACAAGGTTGGCAACCTCGTCATCCCACTGGCGCGTGAGGCGGTCGAGGACTTGGTCCGCGGTGGATGGCATCTTGCTGATGGAAAGTTCAAAACTGAGGGTCAATCAGACTTATCGCGCGCCGTGAGTGGCTCGTAAGTAACCGGGCTGGTATTTTGCGAAAGAAATGTACTTATTAGATAAAGCAATCTCGTAATAGATATCTATAGAAAAATATGGATTAAGCACCATCGTATTATACTTTTCTGAGCTTTGCCTATGCAGGTCAGCTGCATACTAAATGAGAGAGTTAGATGTGTTAATACCGCATCTTATAGTAATTATGGCGGTATATCCATAACCCTTTAGCTACGAGCTTTGCAGTGCAGGTCCCCCTGGACATGTACCATAACCAACCACAACGCGGTTTCGGACCATTTAGACCAATGGCAGCTCTCGTCAACCCCTCAACAAACCTATACTTATGGATTTTGGTTTTCGTGTGATTTGCCGCTCGATAGTTGTAGAATAGAAGAGAACCTGCCCGAGTCTTATATCGGTAAGCACCAGCTTGTTGATTTGCTCACATGTGGCTATGGTACAGGTCCGCTTGGACCTGTTGGCTGACTCTGCGAGCTTCTACCTAGCCCGTACAATGTATTATAGCCAATTGTAGTCAATTATGAGCTGTCGTATAGGTCAGACTGGACCCGTACGAAGCCTCGTAGCTAAAGGGATAAAAAGGAGCTGATTGCGCGCTGTAGTATTGTCTCGTAAATAACTCTGGTATCTACGGTACACTCTCATAATTTACGAATACTCCTTTTTTTACCCTGTGGTCTAATCAGAGCTTTCCCATTAGTAATGGGAAAGCTCTGAATGGGGAAAGCTCTGAATTGGTCCGTCGAAGTGGAATTGGGCGGTCTACCGTCAAACCGACTGGAAATACCGGAGCTCACGGCGTTCTGGGGCATATTCGCTTGGGCGGATAACCCGTGGATCCCAGATAGTAATGAGCCAGTGTTATCGTGAGCCAAATACGACAGAATCGCGGTAGCCTCGATCGCGAGCTTTCAAATCGTCAGGACTCACAGAACAACCTACACGGTACGAGTACCAACAGCACCGGGATGTCAGGCTGGACACACCATCGCCAAACTGGAGCGATGGTTGATCGCTATTCTGCTCCCCTCGCCCCGAATTGAAGTGGGAGAACAACTCGGTCCAGCCCCTCAGCTTCTATTACGGAAACCACCGTGCCTCACGCAAAGCTACGTCTGGTCAGTGGAGGCTGATTCTATTGTAGTGGGAGTCTCCAATGCAGGAATATCTACAATCACGCTGCAGCAACAAGCCAACGGGCTCAATTGGAAAGTCGTATCGCAGCGCAACGCCAAAAAGGACGCGACGAAACTATTCAAGCACTTGGACGGAGTAGTATTCCATGCACACACCCGGATTCACGGATTCCCTTGGCAAGTACCAGCAAGGACCCGAAATCGAAACATTATAAAGGATTTGAAGATGCAGCCTAAGAAACAGCTTCGGGTACACGCCCGTCCCGACCTCGATAAGCTGCTCAAGACGTGGGAAGTCCGAGGTGAACGAGATGACTGGATACGAGGTCTCCAGAGTCAACTACCGCAACAGCTTTGGGCGCATCGAAACACGTTGACAAACTACCAGGTCTGGGTGGCCTATCGAATGGCCGCTCAACAATTAAATTTGCATTACGAAGGCGAGCGTCCGACGGATGGCTGTCTTCTCGCCCAGGACGTCACGGCAGGCAAGGTCACGATCACGCACATTACATGGGGCTGCAAGCGAGCCCAACAGTTTTGGAGTCGTTGTGTGGAGCATTGGCTTGGCCATGAAATATCCAGCAGTCGTCTCAAGGCGTATAAGAGTTACATCTCGTCACGGGTAGCTCCTCCTGTCAGTGACAGAATGCGGCGAGTGCTTTTGGAATGCTATGGTAAATGGAACAAAGACTACGAAGACGCTCTCGGGCGGATCTGGTGGAGTCTGTGTAGTATGGGATACGCACTGCTGTGGCAAATTCGAAACCAAGTCGTCCACGAAGGAATGACATGGAGAGCCCCACAACAATTGGAATACATGTGGGCCAGCTGCCTGAGGCAAATAGCAGCAGTGGCACGCAGTGAACGGAACAAGCCAGCAACCAGGACAAATGGGCTTCGGCTACAGCTCACTCTGGATTGCTATGTAGCCATCACGATTGAGGCTGAACCTCCAGATTCACCTCCAACCCCAGCGCCGTGGCTCAAGAGGAAGGAGTCAGCGTTGTGGTGTAGGGAACATCAAGTTTTGTGTCACACTCCACGGCCGCAGTGGAACAACGTACCAGGAGCCAAGTACTACTCGGCGGGATGCCGAGCTCAGTGGGCAAGAATGCGCTGGCGGACGACCGCTGAACTCGGCTGATGGTGTCAGATACTCAAGACACACCGGCTTCGACCTGGTGACACGTGGCAGGCCCAGTGATGAAGGCCCAGTCGAGTTCAGGAAGGCACTGGACACACTCAGCCGAGATCATGGGGAGTTCAAGCCGCCGAGCTCGGCTAAACGGTACCATGTACCGTCCGATACGGTAACCAGGCTCAATTGAGTCCGGGAGTCGCGCAGTCGAGTTCACGGGTCGCTCCGCCGAGTTCACGGGTCGCTCCGCCGAGTTCACTGGGTTATCCGGCTCAGCCGAGTTCGAAGAGTTATCCGGACGCCTTATCCGGACCAACCGAGCTCAAGCGTCGCTGCGCTCAGCGAAGGGTCGGCCGAGATCCAAAACCACCCACTTTCATTTGGTATTTGTATGGGATCTTAGGAATAGTAGAGGCGCCCCTTCAGGGTGCCCGACAGAGATAACAACCAAACAGAGCAGAATTTTCTAGGTCCACAACACGTGCACGCGCTTCCAGTAAGTCCCTGCACGGGCCGGATTATGTCTGCTGTCAGCACCCGAGAGGCATAGCTTGTAGGGTGCTGACTGGTAGCGCCAAGAGATTAAGGTCGGCCCGGGTTGGGCGCGTGTCTCGCGAAGTGCGAAGGAAAAGTCTCGCCACCGCTGCGAGCCGGTGTTCCCGTAAGTCCCGGGCACTGAATGCTGAGTCGAGAAGCCTTTGCTCTCGGCGACCCGTAAAAGCCCACGAGGGCCGTCGTCCGTCCTTTGGCGGAGGGCACGGGATTTCTAATTCCGGAGTCAGGTAACTCAGCTGGCTTCCGTGATTGACTGGCTTGGGGTACTTGGTCTCGGCGAGGACGAGACATCACTGTCCCGGAAGGGCCGAACTGCTGGGAGACATCTCAGCGCAGGCCAACAAGGGCCGACTAGCTCGGCTGTTGTTGTGTTTGTCGCTAGGGTGCCACATCTGACGATTTTGTGCGTGCTACTACACCACAACTGGTGCCGCGACCCGGGAGCAGGGTGGTTTGTTTTCGTTGGTACCAAGTCAACCAAGTTTCGAGTACTGAGCAAGATGGTCAAGGGGAGATCTTTGCCGAGCTGGGCCAGCCCAGCGACGGCTGGGGGCTCGCTTCACACAAAGCCGAACTCAGCTGGCGGAAGGATCGCCGACATGATGATGGAAGCGGTCCCAACCGTTCGGTTTGGCGACGACCGCACCCAAGACCGAGGAAGAGATGGAAATATCGGAGATTATGATGAAGAATTGAAGAAAGCCGAGTTGCTCAGCGGGGTAGCTGAGTTCTCGCTGCATGTTGGGCGCATGGAGAAACCTCGACGAGCCCAACAAAACCTCGCAGCCGAGCTCGGTGACGATGCGGACGACGACAGTCAAGCCGTCGCTCCAGGGGACCGTCCGCCCCTGATACAACGAGCGACGAGGGCATCCAGCGCGAAATGCCCGAGTTGGGATTCGATGCCGAACGTCTCGTGGGAAACCTTTCCACTCGACTAGGGGCAATCGAAGAAATGTGAAACCCGTCTGCAAATGGTGCAAGTTGCAGATGCGGTCTAAGGCTATTGCACCAAAGTGATGATCCGCCGACTCAGTGAAGACAGCAGGCTGGGTCGAGTCGAAGAATGATACTGCGTCAACTGTATGGATTATATGAATTACATGATATCGAAATGGAGTGAGCGAAGATGGAGCTGGAAAGCAAGAAGCCCATTCGCCGGGTTAGCGTTGGAGTCGGCGCGAAGTCTCAGCCGAGTTGCCGAGCTGAGCGGTTAAGCCCAGCTGGTCTGACAACGACCCAGTGAAGAAGCTGAGGGAGGTGATGGTGCGTCTGCACAGATTGAGCGAGTCAGCCGTCGATGCCGAAGCTGTGTTGACTCGTCACTGGGTCCGTGAACACCCACTGGGGCACTGTGTGTGATATGCGGCGGTACGATCGACACCCTTGGGTACGACCGCCGGGACCTCCGACCAAGTCGATGAACGATCTTCCCGTTGTGCGCTCAAGCTGAATTGGAGCGCAGGTGTGCTGACGCGGAGCTGTGCTGATATGGAGCCACGCTCAAGCAGGAAAGCCGAAGCGAAGTCGAGTTCGCACGATGTTCCAGTGAAGCCGTAATCACTCCATGTTTACCGAGAGGCGGCTAGCCGAGTCGGTCGATGCGCGGCGGCGGTGAACAAACCGAAGTTGCAGCAAAGCTGGAGTTGAGCAAAGCTCAGCGGAGGCACGCTGGGCAGGCGCGTCGCCGAGAATGTCGACGTGCCAGCGATCTCGAACGGGAGCCGAGTTGATCCGTAGCTGAGCAGAAGCAGACACCTGCTTTGAAGATGAACTCCGACTTCACTCGATCCGACGTAGGGCTACCATCGCGTTTATCTGCGGTCAGCCTGAAGCTGAGTCGGTGAAATCGCCGAGTCACGGCGTCGCAAAGGTGTACCCAACATCCAAAGCTGGACTGAAGAGGAATGGATTCCACGCGGCCGCGATCGTATTCACATTGAGCCAACATGAGCAGAGCTTGGTCAGGGGTCGAGCATAGCCAAGTCGAAACACCCCTTCAAAGCGCTGATACTTCCGCTAAGGGACAGAGCTGGTCAGGCAGCCAGCTGTGTCGTTCGCTCAGTCGAGCTTGCCTCTCACCTTGCTCAACTGGGCTAAGCTGAAGCGGAATCAATTCCAGGTGAACATGAGTCGCGCTAGACCCGGGTTGATTCGTGGCAGAGCCACAGAACATGGGGATCAAGTGGCGCCTAGGCGAATTGCAGCAGAGGTTTGTCTTGAATCCGAGCTGAATCGGGATCAGGTACAAGTGCAGCCGAGGTCAGCACCAACTGAGTTGAACCACAGTCAAGCTGAAGCCGAGATGCGTTCAAGCAGAGCCGAGTTGAAGCGAGACAGTGCACTCTGCGTGGAAGTAGTTTAACACCGAGATGTCGTGAGGCCGAGTTCAACCAAGCCGGAACGGAGCCGAGTTCGAGCAACGCTTCGAAGAAGCGCTGGTCGTTGGAGTGGAGCCGATTGAACAGCAACCTTGCCGAAGCAAAGCCACGATCAAGTTGGGCCGTTTCGCGTCCAGTTCCAGTACATCTCGGTCTTGTGCCCGGTTCTCGTCGGATTCCAGCCGAGACGAACTAGGTCGAGCCGACGTTATGCGCAGCCGAGTCCGAGCAGAGCTGAGCTGAAGCGAGGCTGAGATCACGCTGCGTCCTAATGTGGTCGCGTTCGCACTGGGTTGCTGCGACGCCGAGAACATTGGAGTACGATCAAGCTGGAATGGGATGCCGAGTTCCAGTAGTGCCCCGGGTTGGATGGCGCCAATCTGAAGTGTACTCACTTCAACGGAAGGAAACACTGGGCTGAGTTGCGGTACGCCAAGTTTCAGTGAGATCGCGTTCGGAAGTTCGCCTAGTTGAGTGCTGGTAAACGCACCATGTTCCGATTGGAGAGCGCTCATGCCGAGTTCGAGGTGTAGCCGAGCTGAGGCTGAACACGCTTCACAGCTGAACCGAAGAGATTGAATTCAAACTGAGTTTGAACGCAGCCGAGCTCGCGGCGAGCCGAGTTGGAATGTGACCGAATGAAGTGCTGTTCCAGTCGAGCTTGCTCACCACCATCCCAACCAAGCTGAGCCCAGTCGGGGTAAGCTGGTCTAACAGAGCGGGAGACATGCCGAAGTCAAGGTCCGTTGACCACTGAACCCAGCTCGACCCGTTCAGAACAACTCGACTGGAGCATCAAACGCATCAGGATCGCCTTGTTCGGCTATAAAATGACACAGAGCTAACTCAACGCACCAAAGTGAGTGGGGCAAACACTTACCAGGCTAGTTGAGCCGATCAAGCGGAGGTTGTGCTCAAGTCCAGCCGAGTTCAAGGTCAGCGGATAGCAGCTAGTCGTCAGGACAGCCGAGTTCGGACACAGCTGAGTTCAACTTGCTGCTGCACTTCTCGCCAATAAGCTCAGCTGGGTTGGATTTCGAGCTCAGCGCGGCCCGATCGGGGAAGCGTTTCTTGACCTGCCGAGTTCCCGGTGCCTTGTAGCATGCCAAGACAACTATTAGGCTCCACTCGACGCACCGAAACGAGAGGCACGTGCTTACCGGGTCAGCCGAGTCGCTGGCAGCATCCATGGCTGCTCATTTTGACGGAGACAGAGATGCTCGGCTTCGTCGGTATTGCAGCCAATCGAGCACTTCCCCGACACCTGCATCACCTACTCGCTTTGCTGCGGCAGACCCAACATCACCGCTAGTACTCCGACCTTCCGACAGGGGCACCAGCTGACTTCATATGGTTCAGTCCCTGCTACCGGCTGCCACGCCGAGACCACCATCCAGGTTGATTCGATGCTGAAGTGATCCGACACCGGGTTTGGTGCGAGCGATAGGGGCACCTACATGTGTACAGAGCGGCGCCCACGCATCAGACAAGGCCTATACCAAAGATCAAGGCTCAAGCAAGTCTCACCTTCACGGAACAAGGGCGTCGAGCTGGCGTTGCGGGCGTTTCTGGCCACTCGAATTCGGGAAATGTGAACTCAGAGTGTTTGCGACAGATCGGATTGGACGAAATCAAGCGTGCGACACATCCAGTTGGCCAGGCCACTCACCACTCCGGCTCGTAGCATGGCCGGGGCAGTTGTGGTGTAGGGAACATCAAGTTTTGTATGGCCGCAGTGGAACAACGTACCAGGAGCCAAGTACTACTCGGCGGGATGCCGAGCTCAGTGGGCAAGAATGCGCTGGTGGACGACCGCTGAACTCGGCTGATGGTGTCAGATACTCAAGACACACCGGCTTCGACCTGGTGACACGTGGCAGGCCCAGTGATGAAGGCCCAGTCGAGTTCAGGAAGGCACTGGACACACTCAGCCGAGATCATGGGGAGTTCAAGCCGCCGAGCTCGGCTAAACGGTACCATGTACCGTCCGATACGGTAACCAGGCTCAATTGAGTCCGGGAGTCGCGCAGTCGAGTTCACGGGTCGCTCCGCCGAGTTCACGGGTCGCTCCGCCGAGTTCACTGGGTTATCCGGCTCAGCCGAGTTCGAAGAGTTATCCGGACGCCTTATCCGGACCAACCGAGCTCAAGCGTCGCTGCGCTCAGCGAAGGGTCGGCCGAGATCCAAAACCACCCACTTTCATTTGGTATTTGTATGGGATCTTAGGAATAGTAGAGGCGCCCCTTCAGGGTGCCCGACAGAGATAACAACCAAACAGAGCAGAATTTTCTAGGTCCACAACACGTGCACGCGCTTCCAGTAAGTCCCTGCACGGGCCGGATTATGTCTGCTGTCAGCACCCGAGAGGCATAGCTTGTAGGGTGCTGACTGGTAGCGCCAAGAGATTAAGGTCGGCCCGGGTTGGGCGCGTGTCTCGCGAAGCGCGAAGGAAAAGTCTCGCCACCGCTGCGAGCCGGTGTTCCCGTAAGTCCCGGGCACTGAATGCTGAGTCGAGAAGCCTTTGCTCTCGGCGACCCGTAAAAGCCCACGAGGGCCGTCGTCCGTCCTTTGGCGGAGGGCACGGGATTTCTAATTCCGGAGTCAGGTAACTCAGCTGGCTTCCGTGATTGACTGGCTTGGGGTACTTGGTCTCGGCGAGGACGAGACATCACTGTCCCGGAAGGGCCGAACTGCTGGGGGACATCTCAGCGCAGGCCAACAAGGGCCGACTAGCTCGGCTGTTGTTGTGTTTGTCGCTAGGGTGCCACATCTGACGATTTTGTGCGTGCTACTACACCACACAGCGCTGATCAAAAGACTTCGAAAATTTCAGGGGGCTATTAACCAAGGTTCAATAGACTACCTTTCTCTCAACGCTCTGAATTGGTAAAATACATACTAATTCATACAGTTGACTGATAGTGGGTACAAAGCGAGCTTGATGTCTGTTGAAGAATATTAAATGTCGCCCGTTCCTTATCGAGACACTTTACTGTAGTTGTGGATGCTCATAATGTAGTACCGGATGGCGCGGAGCGATCTCCTCTAGGATGGCGCTTAAGTTAGCAACAAGTCTAGGCGCCATCTACATCTATGTTGCACAGGAACCACATCACTTAACCAATTATGCAGCAGCCGTGTTGCGCGCTCTCTCGAGCTTGCGCGTTGTGGTTTAACCTCGTGCTCCCCATATCCCGCACTCAGGCGCGCCTCAACTGGGCCCACACCAGGCGTGGCTACTAACTATCACTCCGACGAGGCGTATGCCTCCAAGCGCGCGGGGAGGGGGCAGCGCGACGTTGGCGAGCGGTGCGCAGCTCTTCCCCTCTGCCTTCGCGCGCTTACAGGTGGCTCAATGTGAATGCAAAAATGCGCAAAATACTCAAATTAGGGGTGTATCTCTCTACATGCGATCCCACGGACTTCTCTCTCGCATCTCTGATTGGTCTAAATAAAGGTGTATATCTTAAACCGCTGTAGCGCTCTACATGCGAAATGCGGTACGCACAACGCGGACGACTGGTGCGCCGCAAGTGCGGCGCGCCTAAGTCGTGTGCGCTGTGCGTATATCTGTTCTGTTTTATTTTCGCTATCTCAGTCCCCGCGAAGCCCTAGTTCATGACGTGGCGTTCAAGATTACCACAAGCCAAAGAGCTTTAAATGGGTCGATTGCCGTACCCCGTACACCTTGGACAGCCCTCTCCAACAATCCTTTGGTAGACTTATATTGTTAGTGTATTCTCTGTACTAAGTGCCTCTTGTGAAGTTCGCTTTATAGTACAATGATCCAGCTTAACGTTAAAATCCGCGAAGGCACGGTCTTGAGCGGTGATCTGTACGGTAGTTGTCAGCACTGTCGTGAGATTGCCAGGCATTGAACGATACTACAGATAGTCTTGACCTCGATACCGTTCGTGCTTCTATCAGGACTCCATCTGAGCCCCAGGAAACCCCATTTGCAGGCTTCAAGACAAACACAAAGTCTGCCGAACCTGGCAGCTGAAGTTGGTGTCGCCGCCGCAACTGCCGCGAGATTCCCCCCACTCGGTTCGTGTCGCCCTCTGTATGCTCAGCTCGGGCGCGAATCATCTGGGGCGGCGGCTCTGTCCCTCGTTGCAGGCTGTGTAAATTACACTGTAATGGCGCCGGCTGCGGCGCTCACGCTCGTCGAGCAAAACAGGCGAGCAAGAAATCTGCCCCGAGCCAGCGACAGCAGCAGCAATGCCCTACATGTATAAGCAGCAGCGTGGAGGCCACGACATCTTCGTCGAGGATCGGGCGGCAAATGCCAACAATCGTGTTATGTAAGGAGCGCGTGTTTGCTGCGATAAATAATAAAATATAAGTGGGTACCTTTTGCAACACGCGGATCCCGTGGAGATTCCGCCCTCTTGCGTGCTCTATCGGCCGGGATCTCCGTGTCAAGACCGCGTCGAGGCCGCCCGCAACAAGCCAAAGCGCGTCAGGGGCTCAGCTCGCCAGCCAGGGGCAGAGTGAACCATCAGCAGCAGCAGCGCTGTCACTGACAGACATCTCGGCGTGCCGCCGCGCTCGCTCTTTCTCTGCCTACGACTTGCAGGAGATTTGACCACCAGACGGAGCAGCAGGCATTCGCGCTTCTGCTCCCCATCCGCCGGCCTCATCCTTGGCGCTCGCGGTGGACTGGAGCTGAATGGCAAATTTGGCCCCCGCTCCCCCGCCAGTGACTCGCACGCAGCTCTCCATCCAGCGGCCCTCGACCACGGCGCTGGACAGCAGCGACGAGGCGCGCACCGACACTTCCACGTCGCCCTCTATGAACCCGACGCGCTCGCCCGCCAGCGACGCCAAGGACCGCGACGCCAGCAGCAGCGGCGGCCCCGCAGCAGCCATCCCTTCATCCTCGAGCTCCAGACGGAGGAAGGCCGACTCGGCCGCGGCCACGGGCGACGACAAGCCGCCCCCCAAACAGCGCAAGTACGAGCGTAAGACCAAGCGCTTCATCTGGCCCGATGACCTCCACCGCCTCTTCGTGGCCGCCATCTTCGACGGTGCGCTGGTTGACAAAGCCCCACGCCATTTTGTTCATACGGGAGATTGACATTTGATTCGTGTGCGTTGCAGTTGGTCTCAAGAATGCGTCCCCAAAGGCTCTACTAGCTGTACGTATTTCGCTTTCTGCCCGAGTACGAGGCTGCCGAGCGCGACTAACTTGTTCAGCTGATTTCTTGCTTGAAAAGTTGATGGAGGCAGCCGGACCGAACTCAGGACTCACAACGGAGCACCTCAAGTCTCACCTGCAGAAGTATCGGCTCAACTACGAGCGCTCTCGCATGGAGTTTCTCGAGTATTACGACCGCAGCGCCAAGCGCAACCTAAAGCGTCGCCGGCGGCAGGCTCAGCACCGGCCAAGCGGTGCAGGGGGCGAGGCCAACACCATGTTCGTGTTTCCAATCAGCAATTCGAAGCGCAGGAAAGGGCATGCCAGCGATAGCGACAGCGATGATAGCGACTCGGACTCTGGCGATAGCCATAACAACGACAGCAGGATGGATGTGGATTCAAAAGGTCAGGGAACGCCTCAGGGACGCCGTAGTTCTGTCGCGGAGGCACCTGCGCGTGGCCTCAACTACTCGCAACTCATGCAAAGCGCACACCAAGAGCCACCGATCGATGGAAGTAGTCACCTGCGACCACAGCCTCACACACCAGATGAGCGCATGATGAGTGCCGTTCCGATACCGGTATCGACAGGTTTGATCCCCATAGCCCCTCAGCACTTGCCGCCAGCCTACGCTGCGGCTCACGCCCAGAAGAGTACTGACCACGATCGAGAAATGGCAGCAGCGGCTGCTGTGGCCGCGTATCGCTATCCGTTAGGGCAGCTTCCAGCTGGAGCAGGAGTTGCAGGCATGCCGGAGCTGTCTGACCCCCAGTGGAGCATTATCAACTCCCTCATGTCGCCACAGCTTGCTGGCATGACTGGGCCAGTGGGTGAAAGCGGTATATTTCCTCATGCGCCCCAAGCTCAAGTTTCGACGAACGAGGCGGTGGCCCGAGGCGCGGAGGGTTTTATGCTGCACGAGGAGCCAACCGATCTGCAGATGCAGATGCATCTCGCCATGCAAGCCCAAATGAACCTCCATCGGCAGATGCTAACCCGCAAGGTCGAGGTGGCGCAGCATCTTGCCCGACACAGCAGCGTGGGGAACATTGTTACCAGCTCTGTCCCTTCGAGCTCCAGTAGAGGCAATCCACAAGTTGCTCAGTGGGCCAGTTCGCAGCAGCTTCAGCAGCAACAGCCGCAGCAATACCAGCAACAACAACGACAGCAGCAGCAGCAAGAGCAAGAGCACTTCCAACAGCACATGAATCTGCTGTCCCGGCCGTCGTTATCCGCCGCGACTTCATCCACGCAGACAACGAGCGCATCAACGGATGTGATCGCCGCTGGAGTTCCGACAGCTAGCGAAGCGATGGTGGTGCCTGCGTCGACAGGCGAGGGCCAGCCCAGCGGGCCAGCCGCGACGGAAAGCAATGCAACAGGAATGGCAACGGATAGCAAGAGCGAAGACGATGGGATGGATCTGTACCGTTGGGATCGGATCGACCTGAACGTGGAGCTGGATGACGATGATCTGTTTGGTTTCCTGAAGTCGTAAGGAGCGCGTTCACGTAGTGCATGCACGTGTGGTATCAATGAAGTGAGTGTTGATATTAGCATCACGTGGCGGAATCCGTGGCGAGTACCTTAAAAGGAACCGAGGAGAGCAATGCAGTAGTAGATTGTACCGTGTGGAAGTATACCAGGGTAGGATAAGAGAGGACGAAAGCAATGACAACAAGTGTATGAGAACCGCTTCGACTGGCGCATCGACACTTCTCACTTTGACACAGGGGGCTGATCTTCCTTATCGCGTTTTCTGACTCTCGCGTGTGGGTTCCATCCAGCCTTCCACCTGCATGGGCCTGGTCTCTTCTAGTAGATGGAGGGGTTGCCCACCCTCACCAGTACAGTGCCGTCGTCTACGCCCTTTTAATAATACCCGCCCGCCTTCGTCCTTCTACTTCTCGTGGCGGACACTGCACGCCTTCGCGCCTGCTTTCGAGTCTACTGGGCATCCGTCATGGGCTCCGCTCCGTCCGCACGAGCCTCGGCGGGCGGCTTCTCGTCGTCCAGCAGGCCGCGGATGAAGAGCACGTTGTTGCAGCGCACGAGCGTCTCGCCCAGGTTGCCCGTGAGCTCTCCGTTGATGTACTCCTCCGTGTTGGCCAGCTGCAGATTCATGTACGAGTCCACCGACAGCAGCACGCCCTTGTACTCCATGCCCCACTTGAGTCGCGCCACCACGGGCTTGCCCGTCAGGTTGGTCAGGAACGGCTTGGGGTTGAGGATCAGGCCGGACTACAGGGCACAAGGAGAGCGCACACAAGCACAACAGAATGCAAACAGGGTCAGAATAAAATGACCCACCATATAACAGTATCGCGTGCGGCTCGGACATCGCCCTAGAGCCTCGAGACAGAGAGAGCACGGCTCCGCAACGCACCATCGTGCTCGGCTGCAGGTCGATAGAAGACTGTTGTTGTAGGCGAGCGGATCTTTCAGCCAGTAGTTGACGCGCATTTCACTTTCAACCAATAAGAATAAGAAAATAGAATGTATATTTGGCCAATCGTGCACACGCAAAAGTGAAGCCATCCTTTTTACCGCTGTGGCGCATCGAGCGTGATGACCTTGCGCTCGATGCGCGTGAGGAAGTTGCCGAGCGCCTCCGAGCCGCGCACGAAGATGTTGAGCACGGGGATGCCGGGCACCACGTACTTCTCGTGGGTCAGCAGCTGCTGCAGCGTGCAGAAGGGCGACACCTCGAGCCAGTACTGCGTCTTGGCCTCGTGCTGCTCCTCGCGGCGGATACGCTTCACCTCCTCGTCCTCCTCCTCCTTCTCGCCGCTGAGCCCCACGTGCCACTCCTTGGGCGACGAGTACGGCAGCACCATGTCCGCAGCAGCGTACACCACCAACTTGGAGGCCACGAACTCCTGGTTCGTGTCCCACTCGGCGTACGGGCCGTCCTCCGGGAACATGTTGGCCAGGTGCTCGATCACCGAGTCGTGCTCGCCGAAGAACTGCACGAAGTCCGACGTGCCGTGCTGGTCGTACAGAAAGAGCACGGGCCAGTACATGTTGCCGCTCTCAGGGTCCAGGTCGGCCTTGCCCTCGTACTGACGCACGCGCTCATCGTCCACCAGAGCGCGTCCAACACGGACGTTGCGAGACGCGCACAGCTTGCGGTACTTGTCCGTGGCCGCGCGGCGCTTCATGCGTTCTCGCTCGCGCTTGAGCTTCTCGACGCGCAGCTCCTCCACGAGCTTGCGGCCCTCCACCTGCAGCTTCAGTAGCAGCTTGTTCTCCGGGTCGCGCTTGAGTCCCTCCTCGCAGTAACGCAGCGTGTCGGCGGGCTTGCGCAACATCCTCGAGGCCTTGGCGCCTCGGTAGTACGCCTTGACGTTGGACGGGTCGAAGTTGATGGCCTTGGCGGCGTCCGAGCGGCAGCTGCCGTAGTTCCGGAGCTCGAGCTGCACGGCCGCGCGGTTGCACAGGATCTGCGAGGTGAGCTCGCGCATGTCGTAGGACAGGTCGCGCTCGTCCTCGGGCAGCGCCAGCGCCTTGTAGGCGTAGGCCAGCGCGTCGTTGTAGTACTTCATAGCGTTCTTGAAGTAGCCTCGATGCGCCTTCTTGGCGTCCGAGAACATGTCGTTGCCCTGGTTCTTCCAATGCAGCGCCAGGCTCTCGGCCGTCTCGCCGTCCTCGATCAGCGCCTGGATGGCCGCCACCATCTCGTCGCCCTCCACCACGTGGTCCTCGAACAGCGTCATGTCCGGCAGCGCGTCCATGTAGGCCTGGCGCTTGGCCGGGTCCCACAGCTTGCTCTCATCGATCTCCAGGTCCACGCCCACCATCGCGTCGCTGCTGCTGCAACTTTAAGGCGAAATGACTGGCATTCCAGTTGCCAATCGGCGTTCGGGACAGCAGATGTACACTTTGAGCGACCCGGATTCGGTGACCACAGCCAATCGGCCAAAAGCCGTGATGGGATGGACGTCAGCCCAAGCTCACTTCATCAATCCGCAGGCCGAGGCGATGGTGGACGCAGGCAGCAAGCGCGCGCTGGACGACGCCGAGCCGCAGACCGACGCGGCAACAGCTGCAGCGGCGGACCAGGCGCCCGTGTGCGTCGGCTGCGGCAAGAGCGACGTCAAGTACCGCTGTCCGCGCTGCGAGCGCATCACGTGCTCGCTGCAGTGCTGCGTGGGCCACAAGAACCAGGCGAGTGCAAATGCTGCTGCTGTCGGTGGTGGTGGGTGTATGTATGTGTATTTGCTGACGCTGTGTATGTGGATTCGGCTTGCTGGACGACAGTTCGACTGCAATGGCAAGCGCGACCGCACCAAGTATGTGGCGCTCAAGAAGTTCACGGACGCAGATCTCTCCAGTGGTAAGGCTCGCTCTCACCTAGGCTTGGCTGTTAGTCCTGTATTGACCATGCTCACTCTATGGTTGTGTAGACTTCTTCTTCCTGGAGGAGGTTTTTCGCTCGACGAACAGCGCCGCGCGGTCTCGAAGCACGCTGAACGCCAACGCGCGGTGCTACACGAGCAACAAGAAGCGCAAAGTGGCGGCTACACAGAGCAACGCAGGAGGGCCATCGGGCTCTATCAACCCCGATATTCCTGCTGACTGGTTAGCGCGCTTCCCCATTGCCGTGCAGCTCTTTGCTGAGCACTCGGCCAAGCGCGGCGTTGCGTTGACACTGCTCGCCCCGGGCATGAGCAAGCGGGCCCGCAACTCATCCTACATGGACATGAAGAAGAACACTCTTTACTGGCGAGTCGAATGGACGTTCCCGAGTGCTGAAGTGCCAGTGAGTCATTCGGAGGAGCGCGCAAGTGAAAAGGACACGCTCTTCGCCATGCTCAGCAAATACTTTACCCCCTGTCAGGTATGTGGGTGCTTCATGTGAATGTATGCTTCCTGTTGCTAGTGCTTATGCAGCCTCTTGTATGCAGGAAAATGTTGCTATCCGCGGGAAGCTGAAAAAATATGCCGTGGTCGACTGGGAGAAGCATATATTGCTGCTCCTTCGGAAAGAGTTCACCCCAGCATCCCAGCCGCAGTACTACCGCTTGGACGGCAACCAATGCCTCGAGAGCAACTTGAAGCGGAAGGCCGTGATCGAGTTTCCTGTGATCACGGTTGCACTGGCTGCCGACGCCGACCAGTACCCCGTTGCGCACGATGCGATCGAGACGATCTCGTCGGAGGTAGCTGCAGTTGAGTCGTCATTGCCAGCGTCCGAACCGTCCGAGCCTGAACCGATGGAGGTGGAAGAAGAGGAGTCATCCAGCGGCGACGATACGTCCTCAGAGCTGCTGACGGGCGAAGGCATGGGCGCCACAGCCAAGCTCTTCTCCATCTCGGAAGAGGAACTCGACCCAGTTCAGGCCCCAGCGCAGCCGAAAAGCGTGCTGATCGAGGAGCTCGAAGTCACCGCCCACTAGACTACACCAATACACTCAACCAATAAAAACTGCATGATAGATCCCACAGCGTCTTACTTACTGCGCCCCCGGTCTCCATCGAGGGACGCGAGGTCCATGTCTTCAACAAGTCGATTTGCGGATCTTGACGACTCTTCGGCAGAACCGAAAACTGCTTGACGGGCGACCGGGGACAGCGCGAGCGGAAGTGCAGTGATGGCAGCGTCGTGGTTTGCGGACCCGGAGCTCAAGCCGACGACCTACACGGCGTCCTACGTGTGCAACAACCTCTCCAAGCATGGCGACATGATGGTGCCGCTCTGCTGTGACTGAGCTGTGGGCCTAGAGGTTCGATCCTAACCGCCTCTTGGAAATGTGTAGGCGTACGCGAGCGTCGACGATGTCGTGTACGTGGACACCACGCACACGCCCTTCATGACCCACAAGCTGCCGTGCGCGGAGAAGTCGGCGGTGCACCAAGTGCGCTTCTGCACCCTGAAAGAGGTGGTGGTCATCGTGGTCGCTTCGGACAACGGCATTCAGGTGCCAATCAACTTATACCCTGGGAGGATTGACGCAACATCAACACAAGTCTCACGTTGCCTTTAGATCTATGATGCCACGGGCGAAGAGAGTCTGTCCGAGATCGCGCTCAAAGACATCGTGGGTAACGATGTAGAAGGTATTTGTCTATCCACCTACCTGCGTGTTGGCCATTGAACTGTGACGCTGTTGTCTAAAATCTCACCAAGCTGGGCGTACAGGCGACTCACTCTACTGCCAGGGCATTTGCTCCGTTCACATGAAGGAGTTGCGCCTTGTCGTGGGTACGTAAAATGATACTGCAGTGGTGTGGTGGATATGCTTTCCTCACAATGTCTTTCACTACTGTGTCACTCGCAGGCACCTCGATCGGGAAGCTACTTGTCATTGGGAAAGAAGAAGATGCTAAAGCTGGAGAAGGTTCTGGCTTCGAAGTGTGCAAGACCCTGACGGGACATGACGAGCCTATTTGCTGCGTTGAGAGCTCTCTCGACGGCACGCTGCTGGCCAGCAGCGATATGAGCGGGGCTATCATGATCCGTAACCCCGGGGACGGCTTCGAGGTCACGCACCGAATCGTGAGCAAAGGTTATCCCGCGACCTCCATGACCTTCATGGCTGAAAACTGGCTGGTCGCAGGCTTCCTCACGGGGTGTTTGCGGTTGTACAACCCCGAGAGCTTTCACGTGCACGCGGAAATCGCTGCTCACACTCGCGCAATTACGGCGTTGGACGCCCACAATGAGTTTGCTGTGTCTGTGAGCGAGGACACCTTCATGAACATTTGGGAGATTTCGTCGAGCAAGCCCGGATCGGGGCCGCGCGTGAAGCTGGTGAGTTCGCAGGCGGTACCCAACGATCTCCTGACGGGCGTGGTGTTCTCGTCGACCAACAGCCTCTTCACAGCCACATACGACACCGCGCATCTCAAGTTTTGGAGCCCGGAATGAGCTGCCTATCACTTCAGACTCGACAAGCATAATGGGCAAACCTGAGGCAGGGTTTAAATCTCATCTACAATATATTGAATTCAAGGCACCGGCCTAGAGTGCAATCTTCACTCGGACACTCGTAGTGGTGGGTCACTGGAGCAACCGCCAACGCGGTGTTTCTATATCGTGGCCTGCAGTCGTACGCAGTCTTTAGTCGTAGAGAGACTCGTCGTATTCGATGTGATCCTCCATGTTCTTGGCAGCTCCGTTCAAAGACTTCCAGGGCAACTCCTGCGCCTTCGTCAGCGTGATTGTGAGCGTGTCCTTCTTCGCCTTCCACGTCACGTCTGTGATTTCCTGGAACAGCGTGGAGATCACCAGACTCTTGGCCTGGTCACCACCCGGAGCATTCAGCAAGTCCAATGACAGCGACGTTTTGGTCCATTCCTGCCGCCACATTAGCATGAAAATCAGCAATTGCCACATTCCACTCCAAGATACACGGGTGTTCATATTTGATTCCTCACCAAAACCAATTGCTCGCCCTTCATGTTCTTCACCACGTTGTCAGTCAGGTAGATGCTGCGAGCACAGTTCCACCGGTTAGCCCGAAGCACCTTTTTATCCAGCATCAACCATCGCATACTACTTACCTAACGGTCTTCTTGTTGTCGCTCCAGCCGTAGGACGAGACCATGGTCTTTTGCACGCTCTCGTCGTCGTCTTTGATCTCGCGGTGCTGGTGCGCGTAGTAGTAGCTGTGGTCGCCCTTCTTGACCATACTCTCGTCCAGCGCGGACCTGGGCTCGTCATCCTCTTCCTCCTCGTCACCATCATCGTCCTCTCCCTCCTCTTCTTCTCCATCTTTCCGCCCGCTTTTCTTGGCGTCCGATCGCTTCTTGAGCGACGCGTTGAGCCTCGCGGAGCACCGCCACAGCATCACCGTCAGCACGACGACGCCCACGCTGACAGCCAGCTGCTCCAGGAAGCCCTTGTCCATGTGCACGCTGCCCCAGGGCGTCACCAGCTTCACGTACGTCGCCTCGGCGCTGGGCACGTACAGGTACGGCACAAAGGAGCTCTCGCCCATTATTGCGATCTGCCTGCAGTTGGCAATGGATTCTCTGTGACGTGGCGACTATTTCAAACCTCCTGTCATTGGCTGAAAGTATACCCCCAATTTTAGCGAATCACATACCTCAATGATCCTCTGCGGCTGTGGAGCCCTCTGACCAGACAAATAGCGCCGCCGAGTGCTCAAGCCTGCCTGACTGCCTGTTCGCCTGCTTAGCTTAGCTGTTACGTCGCCGCCATGAAGCCGCTGTTCGGGAAGATCGTATCCAACAAGATGCAGAAGTCGGTGCTGGTGGAGGTGGCCCGCATCGTGAAGGACCCCAAGTACGGCAAGTACTACAAGAAGACCAAGAAGTTCATGGCCCACGACGAGGAGAACGTGTGCAACATCGGCGACTTCGTGCGTCTGTCGGCCACGCGCCCGCTGTCCAAGCGCAAGCGCTGGAACGTCGAGGAGATCACGCGCAAGGCCGAGGTGTAAGGAGGAGCTCGTTGGGGGAGCGCTGCGTCGACGGAGGAGGCCCCGGACACTGCGACAGAGGATGCAGGAGTTTTGCGGGGGCAGAGGAGACGACGCAGCGCGTGTATTAGCAGAGCAGAAACACCGTGGAAAGTAAGTTAGAGTTGATTTCCCAGTCTGGCGTAGCACTCTGCTCCTGTCGTTTATGATGCAGCTCCACGGTCGTTGCAGGCCGGACTCTTTAAAAGCTGCGCTGCTACTGCTCCAGCACCAGCTTCAGATGGCTACCTACCTACCTACTGCAACCTACAGCTCGTCGTCGTCGTCTGACAGGTCTGCGAATGGGTCCAGCACAGGGAAGTCACCGACCGCCACGTTGTGGGGACGCACAAAGCCGCCGAACTTCTGCTCGCACTTGAAGTAGGTCGTGCCCTTGACGGAGCCGTTGCCTTTGCCCACAGGCTCGTCAAACTGCACGCCCACCCAGTAGCCGGGTGCGATCTCCGGGATCTCGCCCAAGTACTGCACCTGTCCTCGCCGTCCTCCAGGCTGCACCTCGCACCGGTCGCCCACCTTCATACTCGCAACGCTCTCGGGTCCAGGAACAGCAGCCGGGTCCGCAGCAGGCCGAGCGGCATTCATCATGGTCTTGGGCTTCCAGTTCGGGTCCTTGGCGAGTTGCTTTCGCTTGTAAGCGCGCACAGTCTTCTCGCCTGTCAATATAAGCCAGTAGCCATCGTCAGTCAGTCACCACGAATCCACAGCATCGCAGCTATCCCACCGCAACCTACGCTTGTTGTAGTCCTCCTCGGAGATCTCGTACTTCTTGACGAGCGAGACGTCCTCGAGGCCGCCGCCTCGCGACAGCGAGAACGGGTCCTTGTCCACGACGTGCAGCCGCATGCCGTTCTCGACGCTGTAGAAGCCCAGCATCCGCCGGTCGTCGTCCAGTCGGGCGTAGACCGAGCCGTCGCTGCGCATGACCAGCAGCTCCATGGCGTCGGGCTTGGTGCCCGTGTGCTGGTACACCTTGTGGCGCAGCTCGCCGATGGTGCCGTGTAGGTCCAGCCGGATGTCCACCATCTGCAGCTTCAGGTTGCTGTGCGTGATGAGCAGACACACGACGCCCTCGGGCACGCTCTCGTACTGCCGGCCGTCCATGGCCGTGACGTAGTCGCGCAGCGCCCGCATGTCCTGCGCCATGGTGGCGATCCTTGCTTCGGCTCGAAGTGCCAAGACTTGAGTTCACTATGACTGGACTAAGTGCGATTCATTTCCGATATAAAGTCGACTTTGAATCGTGAATTGACGACGATTATGATGATGGAGCTGCCGACGATCTCGGCGCTCAAGGTGTACGACGTGCTGCTGATCGCGCTGGTCGTGTTCGCCGTGGACCTGGCCATGAAGCTGTGGAACGGTCGAGGCGCGCAGCTGTCGCCGGCGGAGCAGAAGCTGCTGGGCGAGTACAACGCGCAGGTGCGGCTCGTGAACCGCCTCAACTCGGTCGAGACGTTCGTGGAGCAGGCAAAGGCCACGCGCAAGATGAACGCGCTCAAGAAGGAGATGCAGGAGCTCGCGGGTGCGTTGGGGCGATGAGGGATTTAAGTGGTTTCTTGCCTTCTTGGCTGATGTTCATGTATTTGGATACGTGCTGTGTGTCGTGTGGCAGTGGAGCGGCTGGCTGCAAGCGCGCCATCGGAGCTTCAGAAGCAGTTCGACCGCATCCGAACGGTACGTCTGCAGTGCTGGGAGCTGTCAAGCAGCAGCAACTACAAGCTGGAAGATGAGCTAACCCTTTGCGTTGCTTTTGCCGCAGCCGGTGTTGATGGGGCTCGCTATGCTCTACTATTGGAATGAGCCTCTGGTGGAGCTACCGCAGGGCTACATGCTGCCGGTGGAGCGCCTAATGGCGATTCCTGGCTTCCCGCTTGGCGCTATCTCTGCTATGGGCTGGGCTGGAATTTGCCGTCGTGTGAGTGACAAAGTCCTCGGCTAGAAGATCTGACCTGGTTGACCTCGAGTTGACTCTGAACCTGCAGAGCGCCCGAGAGCAGACTCCGTAACTAGACGAGAGGCACGTAGTTAAATAGCGTAGTTCCTGCAACCTGTCCTGTAACGGCAACGAAATCAACTGCAAACCGCAGCGCGACGAACAATTATCCACGAAAACGAAACACCTGCTGGAGACCGAACACCCGAGTAGAAGTGTGCTGTGTGCGAATGGCGTCACATGCATGGCTGGCATGCGCGTTCGATTAAGCTGACGTTACTACCCGACCCGACGCGCTGAGAGCGGCAGGTCGCGTGGCAAATCGTAGCAAGACGACGCTTAGTAGTCCTCGTCTCCGCCGAACATGTCCATGCCGCCGCCCATGTCGACCTCTTCCTCCTCCTCGACGGCCTTCTCCTCCTCCTTGGCCGGGGCAGCACCGCCAGCGGCGGCGCCAGCAGCGGGGGCAGCGCCCACCGACACGGTGGCGAGCTTGGCCTTGCCGGCAGCGACCACCTCCTCGATGTTCTTGCCCTCGAGCTCCTTGACGAGCTTCTCGGCCTGCTCCTGGTTGAACTCGCCGCCGAACGAGGTCACAACCTTCTCGAGGTCAGCCACGGAGGGGGTGGCGTTTCCGCCGAGCACACACAACAGCAAAGCAGCAACGTGACGCATCTGTACGAGAGCAGCAGCAGCAACCGTTAGTATGCTGGATCTGAGTATTGCGGCCCAATGCAGTAGAGCCACGGCATCCCCGGCGGCAGCTGCAAGGTGAAGACGCACCTTGTTTAAGGTGAAAAGAGGTTTTGCTGGCAAATACCCGACGACGTCTCCAACGCTACTATGGCTTTGAGACCCGCTTGCAAGGCCAGCGGTAGCCAATCACTCCGCGGACCATACAAAGCGCAAGTTAAATGGGTATTGGCCAATCAAATTACCAATCCTCTCAATATCGCTACACTGAATGTGCAAGGGGTTTTGCACACGTCGCAGGAAAAGGGCTCGCTTCAACATGCATTGCACCGCCACAAGGCAACCATTGTGTATTGCCATTTCGTCCTTAAGCAGCTCTATCGATCAACCCTCTAGTTGTCATCATGAGACCGTCGTGGCTGGGGCCACCACTGCTCCCGACGACTTCTTGGGCTTCGGGGGGCTGCTCAGGTCGACCTCCTCGAAGATGCCCTCGCTCTCGTTGACGCCCACGCTGAGCACCATGTCCGGCAGCGTGGGGGGCGCAACGCTGCCAGCAACCTCCGAAGGGTTGACGGTCGCTCGACTTGACTTGGACTGGTCCCGGCTTGTGGTGGCTCGCACGCTGTTTCTGCTCACCTCGAGCGCTGCCGCTGCCGCCGCCTGCTCCAGGGACGTCTGCGACCGCAGTGACGACGGAGCTGAGAGACTCGCGGGCGTGATGGCAGCCGGGGGCGACCCCCTTCTCGATCTCGTCGCACTACCCTTAGCGCTCTTGGTTTCGTCGACATCGCCGTGCTGGACGTGGCTGCGCTTCCGATTCCCCGTCTTCTTGCGGCGGAGGCAATTGCACTTGAGCATGCGAGTGCACAGACCATCGGACCCGTTTGCCAGGATGAAATCGTACGTGCCCATTCCCACGCGCAACAGATACGTGTGGAAGCCAGCCAAGAGAACGAACGAGTTGGTCAGCGATAAGCAGGCAGCGTTGTGGATCCACAGTAGAGCGATCACTGCTTGATCCCAGCCCTCAGCGGCGTTGGCCTTCACCTCGGACTGCCACAGAGTGCACATGAGGATGCCGATAACAGTCTGCAGCAGCGTCTGGCACGTCGCTGAGACCACAAGGCAGTAAAACGCCTCGTAGTTGCTCTCAGCGATGCACGTGTTTAGCCACGTGCAATGGTGGTCGAGTCCAGGGCTGTTCTTGTAGCACAGACCGCAGTACCTTGACTCTTTGTGGGGAACTCGCAGAACGGATGGAAAAAATGTCGACGCGGGTTTCTGCCAGCAGGAGCGAGTGAGCACGTGCACGACAGCGATCGAACAGCAAATGGATTAGCAGAGGCTCACGGGCTTTGCAGGGTCCCTCGATTCGCAGATGCACCACGCTGTGATGACGATGGTCACCAGAACGGCATTTGGGAGGAGGATTGCAAGACACTAGAGACACGGATGATGGTTAGACAGCCTTCGATAGGTTCTGCTTGCTCAAAAGTTGCACCTTATCCCAGCTGAACAGTGCCGATACGAAGGTGATGAAGCTCTGCCAGAATTCAATTGCTATCAAGTCAAGACCACACGATGCAAGGCAACGCAGAATGACGTGTGAGTGCGTACTCCGATCAGGGTGAGCTGGATGATCCAGCTCGTTGCTTGGTCTCGTGAGAAGGGCTTCTCGAACCCGTTGGTGCGCATGTCGGTCGTCTACTTCAAGCCCTGCACTGCTACAATGCAGGCGAGACCCGTGCTTTCAACACTCAATCAGATCAACACTGCTCTTGATTATCTGCCGCCTCCACCTCGCGACGTGGTCACCAACTCGCCTTCGCCATACGTTCGGCTATTTCGGGTGCCTACTAAGTCTCCACCAAGAAAAAAGGCATACACATTCGACGACCAGATTTCCTTGTCTTCATTCCCAGTATAAATACTCCGTCTATTCTGCGGTGCAGCTCGCAGTCAGTCAGTTAGTGGGTCAGCGCAGCCTGGACGCCTCTAGGGTGAGGTCCGCACGAGCTCCTTCTCCGCCTGCGGCTTTCCGGCCGACGCTGCCGCTGCAGACGCCGAGCTAACCTTGGAGATGGCGATGACGCTGGACCAGTTCTCCAGCACACGCAGCGACACTGCAACAATTTAGTCCACGATCCAGCACCTTCCATATCCCAGCACAGCTGCAGCCACTTACTCTCGTTCTGCTGATTCATCTGAAGCAGCTTCTCGTTGATGCTGTCCAGGTAGCGCACCAGCTCCGCGGACGAGTCGCGCAGCGCCTCGAGCGCCGCCACCTCCTCGTTCTTGCTGCCCGCCATTGTCCTTGTACTTGTCAAACGTGGATTCGTACTTAGCTGGGCGGTGTGTACCCCGTCACAGAGCCAGGCGGCGCCTTGTGATTGGCCGACGGCGGGCCCCGTCCATTGGTTGAAATCGTGCATAGTCAGTTCACCGCCGCTTGGTGCGACCTTCCAGCGACATCGGCGCATTATTGCGGTCGAAACGGACGTGTTCACTCCCTCCCCAGCGGCGCGCCGCGCATGCTCGTGCTGTGCGTGGACGCCAAGAAGAAGAAGAAGAAGCGCAAGCTCAGCACTCTGGAGGACGCAAGCAGCAGCATGTGGTCGGACGCCCGTGGAACGCCCCTGCCCGGAGGCGGCGTGGCCGTGTCCTCGTCTCGCGCGCAGCCGCCGCCCGCCGCGGCCCTCGCGGCCATGCGTCGCCACGGCCGCGCGCTGGTGCTGGTCATCGCCTTCGCGATTTTCACGTACGTGTCGCTGTCCAGCTCGTCCTTCGGCGGCGCCAGCGGCAGCCATCACAGCAGCGTCAGCAACGGGGCGGGGCTGCGCACGCCCCAGAACTGGGGCAACGACCAGCCGCAGCAGCTGCTGCTGCCGTCCACGCAGGACTCGGTGAGGCACAACATGCGCCAGGAGCCGACGCTGGCGCCGCCGCCCAAGCCCGACTCGTTCGGCATCGTCATCGTGGCGGATCTGGACAAGAAGTCCAAGGATGAGAGCAGCAAGAAGCCCCAGTTCAACTCGTACATCATGCACGCCACGCTCAAGGTCACGCCCAGTAGCGCCAGCGCGCAGCAGAAGCGAGACACGTACTCGGTCACGTTCGGCGAGGAGTCCAAGTTCACCACAAGCATGAACGAGGCCGGCCGCGGCTTCGAGCTGAGCGAGCTGGTTTGGTTCAACGGCAAGCTGCTGGCCTTCGACGACCGCACGGGAATCGTCTTCCGACTCAAGAACTTCGAGCACCCTAGCGCCACGAAGCCCCTGCAGGGGATCCCGGAGCACATCGTCATGGAGGGAGACGGCGTGGCCGGCAAAGGCCAGAAGCACGAGTGGGCCACGGTCAAGGACGGCGAGCTATACATGGGCAGCGTGGGCAAGGAGTTCACGGACAACAGCGGCAACGTCATCAGCGACGGCAACCTCTGGGTCGCTGTCATGGACCGGGCTGGCGATGTGCGCCACGAGGACTGGACGTCGCACTTTGCGGCCGTGCGCACGGCGCTGGGCTGCGACTGGCCCGGATACGTGGTGCACGAAGCCATCGAGTGGAGTCCCGTGCGTCGTCAGTGGTTCATCCTGCCGCGACGCATCAGTACCGAGCCGTACAACGACATGGAGGACGAGAAGCGCGGCTCCAACAAGGTCGTTATCGCTAGTGAGGACTTCAGCAGCATCGAGGTGCGCGAGATCGGCAAGATCACGCCCCTGCGCGGGTTCTCGTCCTTCAAGTTTGTGCCGCGGTCCGATGACTCGGTTATTGTGGCTATCAAGAGCGTGGAGGTGGAGGATGAACAGAGGCAGACTTCCTTTATTACGGTCTTTGACGTGGACGGCACCATCCTCATGGACGAGACTGAAATCCCTGGTGCCAAGAAGTACGAGGGTGTGGCATTCGCGCACGACTGGTCGTAGACGAGATTCGCGCTGCAGTCACGATCTGCTCCCAGGAGTTGGGACCCGCACCGCTCGCTTGCCTCCAAGACAGAGCAGCGACTAGTGCAAGCAAGCTAGCTAGGTGTAGATTACAGATCACTCACTCTCCCGGGGCACCCAATGCTCCGGTCAAAGCTTCCTACCGGTGGACTAGTGGACAAGTGAGGTGGCCCCTTGCACGCACCCGCCTCCCCATTCAAGCATACAGCACAGATCAAGAAAGAAGACTGTATTCCGTTCCTCTCAACTATGAAGATGTCTATTTATCCTAGGCCTCGTGCGTCAGCGCTCACAGCGCAGTCATATTCTCGCAGAGCCACGTCATGCCGTCGTTTAAGCCCTCGCCTGTCGTGGCCACTGCGGGTTGAACCTTGACGCGGCGCTTACTCTGGGCGCAGCTTTCCTGGAATTCCAGTGCGTCAGTCAGCACTTGGACATCGCGAGCGTCGGGCAGATCGCGCTTGTTGAGGATGATTAGCAGACACGCGTCCTGGAGCTGAGTATCTACGAGCATGCCGTTGAGCTCGGCCTTTGCCAGCTCTAGCCGCTGCTCGTCCGCGCTATCGAGAACGAAAATGATTCCCTGGTCGTCATCAAAGTTAGACCTTCGTCTTGCATGGCAATTTGTCATCTATCTGTGCCTGCACCTGCGTTCCGGTGAAGTGATGCCTCCAGTATGGCCGCAATGTGTCTTGTCCCCCGACGTCCTAGGTTTTCAATCATGTGAGTACATTCCAGACTGCCCTCGCCGCTCAATGCCAGTCGAAAGCCAACTCACCCAAATGTTGAGTTTGTAGCCTTCATACTTGATGGTCTCCACGTTGAAGCCGACCGTCGGAATACTGGCGATGGCCTTGCCCAAGCGCAGGTGGTACAGGATCGTCGTCTTGCCAGCGCCATCCAGCCCCACGAGAAGCAGCCGCCGCTCGTTGCGATTCCAGAAGCGCGAGAAACTCCTAGACAGTGAGGTGCCCATGGCATCAGCCACTCCTAGGCGGAGCAATGCAGGACGCGCTCGACGTAAGCAGCCAGATAGCAGGACCAGAGCAGAGCACACCTGCTCAGTTGTTGCAGTCAAAAATACACAAGTTCTGCTTCAACACGTAACGACCGACATGCTCGTGCGTGTGCTCATGGATACTTGGAAGTAGATTATGTGATGCATTGCTATCAGTTCTCTTAACCGAGCGAGTCTCCGCCGTAGCCTTCGCTCTTTCCGGCGAGGAAGTCGCGCTTGCCAGCGCCAATCTTCCGCACCTGCGAGTCCACCTTCGGACAGTCGGTGATGCGGTGACCCAGACCACCACAGAACGCACAGCCCTTAGTGCCTGTAGCGTTGGAAAGACCATCACCACTGCGCTCCAACTCTTCGTAGGGATCCTCCAATGCCTTGAGCACAGGCGGCACCGTTTGCTTGGCCTCGACCAGCAGGTGCTTCAGATCCAGCAGAGCACTCTCGGGCACACTCTTGTTGATGAATGTCGTCGCCACGCCTGTCTTACCGCAACGACCTGTACGACCGATTCGATGCACGTAGTTCTCGATCTCTGCCGGCATGTCGAAGTTGATGACGTGCTTGATATCGGGGAAGTCGAGACCCTTGGCGGCCACATCCGTCGCTACCAGGACGTCCTTCTGGCCGTTCTTGAACAGGTCGATGGCCTCATTACGCTCCTCCTGGTCCTTGCCACCGTGGATCGAGGCGGCCTCGACGCCCTTGAGGATGAGATATTCGTAGATATCGTCGACGTCGCCCTTGCGTTCGCAGAAAATGACAACAGGAGGGCTCGTCTTCTGCAGACACTCGAGCAGGTACACGATCTTGGCGTCCTGCTTCACGTACTCCACCTCCTGGATCACGTCCAGGTTAGCAGCACCGGCACGACCGACGTTGACTAGCACAGGTTTGACCAGCACATCCTTGGCGAAGTCCTGGAACTTCTGAGGCATCGTGGCTGAGAACAGCAGCGTCTGTCGCTGACTTGTGAAGTGGTTGAAGGTCGTGGCCACCTCCTCGTCGAAGCCCAGGTCCAACATCCGGTCGCCTTCGTCCAAGCAAATGTACTTGCACAGGCGCAGGTTCATCTCCTTGAGCTTCAGGAAGTGGTTCAGCCGGCCTGGAGTCGCCACCACAATGTGCACGCCACGACTGGCGATCAGATCCGACTGCTGGCGCTTGTCTTCTCCTCCGATGCACAGCAGACTCCGCAGCTCCGGGTATCCAGCCTTGAACAAGTGGTTCGTGAAGTGCTTGACGACGTCGAACGTCTGCCGCATGAGCTCTCGGGACGGTCCCACAATGAGGCCGAAGGGGCCTTCGTGTCCGATGATGGGCATCTTCTTCTCCTCCTCGAGCGCCAGCATCACCAGCGGCAGCGTGAACGTCACGGTCTTGCCGGAGCCCGTGAAGGCGATGCCGATGATGTCGCGCCCCGCGAGGATGCACGGGATGGCCTGCACCTGGATGGGCGTGGGCCGCATGATGTTCTTGGCCTTGAGCGCCTCCAGAATGGCCGGCGGGAAGCGCATGTACTCGAACGACTTGATGGGCGGCGGCACGTCCTCGCCCTCCACCAGGATGTGCCACTTCTTGCGCACGGCGTCGCACTCGTCCGGCGTCATGGCCGCGATGCTGCGCGGCGGCCTCCACGTGGTCTGCATGGCCTCCTTGTAGTGGATCCCCTCGGCGCGCTCGTGGGCCGACACCAGCGCCGCCTTCTGCACGTAGCTGGCCTCCTTGAGCATGTTGACCTCCTGCGCGTCCTGCTGCGCCTTCTGCTGGTTCACGCCCTGCTCCTCCATGCGCTTGCGCATCTCGTACGCCTGGTCCAGCAGACTCACGCTCGAGCGCTGCGGCTGCGTCGGCGGCGGAGAAGCATCGTCATGGCCGGCGGCGGCGGACGGCGACGGAGGGCTCGACGGCTTCGGCCGCTTGCTGCGGGGCGGCCGCTCGCCCTCCGAGTCGCTGTCGCTGTCGTTGTCGCTGCGCTCGTGCTGGATGCGCTCCTGCAGCTGCTGGCGGCGCCGCTGCAGTCGCTCCTGCTCGCGCTGGCGCCGCACCTTGAGCGGCACGTACAGCGGCTCCTCCTCAGGCGACCTGCTCTCCACGGCCATCTTTTGGGCAACTGCTTGCGATATGACGGCGCCATACAAACTCCAAGTCAGTCGTTGAAAGGGAGTGTATCCGACACCACACCGGCATCGTCATGAGCAGCTCGGCGCCGCCGCGCTGGACGCGGCCGGCGCAGTTCCTCGTGTACCTGGTGCCCGTGGGCGGCATCCCGGCGGACGTGTTCGCGGGCTACGCGCGTCTCCTGCAGCGCCACAGCGAGCTGCCGCTGTGCAGCCTGACGCGGCCCGGGGGCTACGCGGCCGAGCTGTCGCCGTTCCGCGGGCTGGACTGGGCGGGCGCGGGCTCGCTGCGCTTCCGCTTCGTGTCGACGGCCGAGCGCGTGGACGCCTGCGATGGAGAGGACGCGCACGCGAGCCGCCGCGTCGTGGGCGTGCTGGGCGTGTGCCACAGTCCGTCGCTGACGCTCAGCGGCGGGCTGCGCGCGGCCCACGCGCAGTTCGAGGCGTCGGTGCGGCGCTTCCCGGGGCTGCTGCTGCACAAGCTCTTCGCCTTCGAGCACGCGTTCGAGGACGCCACGGCCGCCGAGTGCGAGGGGCTCGGGGACCTCGTCATGTTCCCCGTGCACCACGAGCTGGAGGGCACGGGCGAGTCCACCGTGAGTCTGCACCTGCAGGTCGTCATGGACACGCTGGCCGTCAACGTGCTCATGTCGCTGGAGAGCGCCATCCGCTCGGCCACGTCCAGCGCTGCTGCTACAGCCGCCGCGTCCACACCCAGAGCTGCAAGCGGAGGAGACCTGGTCAGCGTCCTGCTGGACGTCAGCGTGGAGCCGCAGCAGACGCACGCCATGCAGCAACAACAGCAGCAGCAGCAGTCGGCCTCGTCTCCTTTGGTGCTGTCACGCGACGCCAAGGGGGACGCGGTCTTCGGGTCTGCTGCGAGTCCGACGTCGCGCTCGTCCGGGAGCTCAACGGGACCGTCGTTCACGTCGATCCCTTCGCCACTAGCGGCCGGAGTCGCCGCGCTGGACCCGCGCAATCGGCGGCGGAAGCGGCAGCTGGCGCGCAGGGAGAAGCTGCTGGGCGACTACAGCGTGCTGGTGAGCTGCATCTCGGACGCCATGGACCACTACACAGTCGCAGTCGAAATGCTACGCGAGGAAGAAAGACGCAGCGGTGGCGCGCCGGGGGACGCCCTGTGGCTCGCGGCCGCGCTGGAAGGGTACGTGTATTGCTTGTATTGCGAGGCGAAGGACAAGTTCTCGACGGAGCTCGTGGAAAAGGCCTCCGAGGCCGTCGCGCTGTACGCGAAGGCTGGCACGACGGAGCTCGAGAGTCTGCTGATCGAGAACCTCGGCTGGTATTACGCAGCTGTGTCGGCCGCGACGTTAAGGCGGTCGTCGATGTCAGGAGAAGCGAAAGTGCTGGAGAGTCTGTGGACCAAGCGACTGCTGTGGGACGCGCTGGAGCGAGGACTCATGCTGTTTCCGGAGCTCCAGCCGCAGCGCCAGGTCGAGTTCTTGATCCAGACGAGTCGGATGCTGGAGAGTGTGGGCCACCGTCGACGTGTGGCGCTCTTTCTCCATGAAGCTGGCTCGCTTTTGCTAGCTCGGAACGCGCCTGCTATGGATTCTCAGCTCAGGCTGCTGCTGTCGCCCTCCAGTGTGGCGAAAGGGTCTCAGCGGCAACGAGACTTAGAGGCAGCTCTCTTGCTGGAGCGTGTGGCAGCAGAACGTCTGGGCATTCAGGATAAAAGTGCGAGGAGAGACGCGTTGCCGTGGGAAGTCACGACTCTGTATCGCAGGAACAGGAGGAGGAAAGCACCAGGTACCGAAGCGTTCGCTAGCGTTCCCGACAACTCGTGGTTGATTATTCGTTTCCACGTCCTACGGCAGCTCCTGACGATCGCGAGGATGCTCGGAGACGCGTTCCTCGTTGGGACTTATTGTATTCAGCTGCTGGAGATGCTGGTGTGGTGCGACTCCATTGCCGTGCAAGGCGCGGATCCCTCGTCACCAGCTATGAGAAGGTCAGGCGCTGTAGGCTCAGCGCTACTAGTGGACCATCTCCAACAGCCCGCTACGTCACTTCGCGTTGCCCATATGCCAGCAGATCGTGCGACCACCGGACTCCATGCAAAAGGGGGCGTGTATAATTCTCCTCCGCCGGGCATTGATACGAGAGTGAGGCGGAACTTTATCAACTCCCCTTCGGCTACCATGTCAAACGCGGCGGCAACCTTATCGTCGACGCTGACCAACACACCTCGAATTCTGGCCACGCCGCGGCAACAATTCTCCGCAGCAGTGAATGCGATTTCTACGAAGGCGTCGCCAGCGTTCACGCCGTTCTCACATCCTCACCATAATCACAATGGTGTCGCAAGTCGAGCTGGTGGCTTGGAAGAACGCGTACCAGCTTCACGGATGATGGCAAACTTGGCGGATGGGAGGGAGCCCGGAAGTGCTGCGATGAATGGAGATGCTGGTGGGATCAGGACGTTTCGGACGCTAGGTATCAGCGACAGCGAGAGCGACGGGAAGCTTCACCTTGGCGTGCAGGCAGAGGGTCCCGCTGTATGGAACTTGCGGTCGAAGACAGAGATTGCCAAGATTGAGCGGAAGCTTCTCAACCTGCTGGAGTCCGATTGCACAACGCTGCGAGCAAGTGAACAAGTCCAGTTGTCTACTTTTCTTCGTGTGGACAAGCTCAGGTTACGCTCGAGCTGCAACTTGCAGCACCCATTTCTCTCGCGAGCGACGGCTTTGGGCATATTTGGAGTGCAACCCACATCGAGCCAGCAAGCTGCCAAGTCGGACTTCTTTTACTCGCCCTTTGAGAAGCAGAAAATGATGCGGAAGGCAGCACAGCATGGGGGTGACGAAGACGACGACATTGACGATGCGCCTGCCATGTATGAAAGGGGCTTTCCTGTTCACGAGAGAATCGAGCTGCAGCTGACGATATCGAATCCGACGGGCGTGGCCGTAAAACTCCAGCAGGTGAAAGCGTGGGTGACGTTTGTTGAGGAGGGCGCTGGAGCGGGTGCGATGGGCAGTGGTGCTAGTGCGGTCTTACAAGACGATGGCGTGGAATGTTACCCCAGTTTTCTCACTCTAGGTCCCTATGAGAAGCGCAAGACTGTGGTGCTGGGGATTCAGCCGTTAAGAGTGGGGGCTTTCCACGTTCGTGGGTGCTTCATCAAGACGTTTAACATTACGACGTCGTTCACGCTGAATAATCCCGTCAGCATTCGTGTCGTTGGTGAGCTGCCGATGGTTTCGCTTTCCCTTCGCGAGCACGGCTCCATGGCACTCTCTGAAGGGGAAAAGGCTGCAGCTAGTAAGCCACCGCCAGCTTCCAAGATGCGTATCGCGATGTTTGCTACAGAGACGAAGAGGTGTATGCTTCGTGTACGGAGCACCGGCAACCAGCAAATCACCAATTGCAGGCTCGCAGTGAATGTCCAGCATCGGCGTGCAGCGAAAAAGACGTGCGTGATTTTCAACAACTTGCCCCCAGCATCGACTGACTCAAGTGGCGGCAGTGTGGATGCCCCAGTCAATCACAATGGCAATCCCAGTAGTAGCTCCGGGGAGGTTGAAACTCATCTTCTATCGCTGAGCTGCGGTAGTGTTGTATCTTCTCCGCTTCCGCTGTCGAGCGGCGATTTCGTGAGTATTCCGTTCGAAGTATCGTTACGAGGAAACAAGACCGTGGGGGAATCAGCATCAGAGAACGACATCCAGGTCGAATGGAGTTTCGTATATGCTGACGAAACTTGCGCGGGCGAAGTCTTCTACCGCGAAAGCAAGCTCGCACTGGAGCTCGTGTCGCTTCCGTCTCTAATGCTCCGATCGGTTGCGTTGCTCCCGTGCAGCGTGGAGCAGATTCCTCCTACCCAGGAGACCGATACGGGTAACCCGGCACAAGCATCCACGACAGATCATTTGTATTGCGCCATGATAGTCCACGTCGCCAATCCCACAGAAACGACATTTCGCTTTCGGCTACGCCGTGACATCGACGACAGCGGAGACGTCACGTGCGAGGCGGAAATCGGCCGGCAATGCTCTCGCCGCTTTGTGGTGGAAGTCCCGCGTCTGTCATCTCTAGGGGGAGGGCAAGGACCGGAGCTTACAGACACGCTGAACGATCTGCTGGAGGTGGAGTGGGAAACGTACTTCGGGACTCACGGACGACTGCGCTGCGAGGACTTTCACCTCGGGTCGATTGCGGCACAAGAGCAAATGACGCGAGAATTGCTGCTTCCTCCGATAAGCCTGCAAGTTCATTCGCCCGTTGAAGCACCCACGTCGATGGCTGTGGAGGCTAAAGCGCAGAATGGAGACATCAGCGGGATGAAACCAGGACGGCAAGGTAGAGCCGCCCTCCACCCGCTGAACTTCTTCCAGGCGGCGCATTTGCGAGCGGAGTCTCGGACTCTGCAAGCCGATCTGTTCCAGTACGTCCCGATTGGTGTCACAATTCAACGGACTTTTGATGGGGAGATGCAATTCTCCGGGGTTGAAGTGGAGGTGGCAATCACAGAGGAGGGCGAAGAAATACTCGGTGAGGTGAGAGAGCACGTGGTGGTTGTGGGCTTGCTCAAGACCCAACTCACGTGGACTGGTCCTATGGAGGAGGAGGCTGCGAAGAGCCACGAGATCCAGTGTATGTTTTTGTCGGAGGGAAACTTCCGTGTCGCTGTGTGTGGGCGGCTACTGGACGCAGACAAGAAGCAAGTCGGTGGGGAAATCTGGTGCCACCAGCCACTGCACGTGTGCGTCCGATCGGAAGACGCGGAGAAGACCGCGCATCATATTTAAGAGGGGGTAATACAACCACTCAAGCGCTTCAAGTTGAAGTGCGTTCATCATTCTTGCAGAGTGTTGGTTCAACTTCAACTTGAAGCGACAACAATTATAGCGGTGGAAACGTGCGTTTACTTGGTATTTGTGGAGTTGTGTGTTGGAGTGGGGGAACGCTAGGAAATCGGAGAGGTTGAGCAGAATGGTGCGCAGCGAGGCGGCAGCGAGCGAGTACTTCCAGATCCGCAAGCTGCTCTGGGATGAGCTCAAGCTCAATGTGTGCGCGTCAGAAGAGGGAGAGCTGCGGAGTGCTATCGGGAGTCACCTGATCGAAGGAAATGAGGTCCGCATTGCCGATAGTCTCTCTCTCTCTCTCTTGCGGTAACTTGTGGCGAAAAACGCTCTAACCCGTTTTGTGGTCGCCGCTGCAGGAATTGCGGCAGGAGTTGGCGGTGCTGGTCGAAATTCTGACGGAGTTTCAGCAACAGAACGATGACATTCGGGTTGGTAATTCTCTCTTTTTGATGGATTTGGGGTCACGTGTGCTAACGAAATTGGCTGCAGGATGTCTTGGTAAGGCGGCCGCACATCCCAGAGCCCCCGGGACGTCGTTTGCTCATAGAAAAGCTCAAGCTGTTGGCTGCGGATATGCACGGGCCCTCTCGCCAGGTGGCCATGCGGTCTGTCAAGGACACGGAGGTCTTGGACTACGTTGTATCCTCATCGGATACGTTCAACCACAGCAGCTATCAGCCGCCGATGACGCCGAAGATGGAGGATTTGTCGCCTAGATCGATTTCAAACGACGCGGCGGATGTTGTCGCTCTTCGACCAGGGACTGCGACCGGGAGGCGTCCAGCGACGTCTGGTTCTCAGCGGCCAGTATCGAGGGGGTCAACAATTTCCGTCTCATCTATTACAGCCGTCCTGGAGAGCCCTGAGGTCGGTACAACATCTTCGGTGGCCACTTCTTTATTTTCTTTCTCGCTAATGGTTTGACGTTGCTATGGCTCACAGGTACATCGACGTCTAAACCTTGACGAGATCGACGCGATCAAAGAGGACCTACGTGAGGCACTTAGTGAAGAACGCCAACTGCTACTTGAAGACATCGATTTTATTCAGGTACAGGTTTCTCGCAGACATAACCCGCTCAGTTCATCGTCTGACGGTCTTTTTGGCTCAAAACTACAGGGGTGCTTGGAAATGGAGAAGGACTTGATCGATGACGATCGCCGGAAAGTGGCAGCAGTGAAGCCTCCCCCGTCGCTGAGCGATCTGCACGATCTTCGTAAAACGCTGGAGAAAACGCTGGAGGACCAGGTACAGACGCCTCTCACTTTTCCTAACGCGGTTAGCATGTGGTTTGACGCCTTTTTGCTGTATTTGGAGCTTAGGAGGCGGCTGGGAAGGTGGAGAGCATACTGAGCAAAGCGAACAAACCCAGCTCATTTGTTCGAAGTCGAATGTACGTTCGCTTACAAAGTACTTTTACGAGCTCTGGTCAGCTGTTTAATTGAAAGGATTATGTTGAGCACAGGTTCATGCCGGTACCCCCTATGGATCCTCCGCCGTCGGCCCCTCCATCACGAGGTGAATCCCCAGCATCAGCACGTCGACCCAACCTCCCCTCGCTCAACGCCGCATCTTCCTTATCCCTGTCACACACGGGATCATCAACAAGAGTGCTCAAGATTCGGCACCTTGTACAGGAGTCTAGAGACGAACCCTATTTATCGTAATGCAAGTCTGTGCAAGAACGAAAACCGCGACTTCATTCCTCAATTTGTATTGAAATCGTTCTGTAAGTCGGATCTTCTCTTCGAATTGAATTGGTTTGGTTTGTGTGTTTCTTGTTGTACAGGTGGAGGGGGAGGGAGTATCAGTTCATTCACTCCTCGTCGACAGAGTGCAGTCCGATCTCAGTGAACTCCAGATCCTTGCGGTCGGCTCCTTTCGCCTTTGAAGAAGTAGCGGCGGCAGCTGGTCGAGTGGGACGCAGCGTTGGTCCATCGAAGGCCTCGTCGATCACTTTTGCTGGGTTGGTTCGGCCACGATCCAGCACGTCCTTCATGATGAGAGGGATCTCATCCGATCGAGACTGGATCGCGTCGTGGAGGTTGGAGGTCAGAGCGACGTACAGCTAGAGGGCAGATGTCAGTGGGCGATCAATATTTCTTCAAAACAATAGTGACGAGCCAGCGACTTACCCGGTTCATGCCAGACAGCACGCTCGCATGCTTGTTGCACTCAGCGTAGAGGACCCCACTACGTAGAGCCACGACGCACTGCAGCGTGATGTTGATGAGCACACAGGCGAACGGGAAGTGGCGTGTCGGGTGCTGCGAGAGCCCGTGGAAGCGATGCGCCAGGTCTGGGTAGGCGTCCACCAAGTACAGGAGTTGGAGCAGCGAGAGCACGCCGCAGCCACGCAGGTCCGTGGAGGGGTCCGTGCCCTGGAAACCGACATCTTCCCAGTGTCTGCCGATGAGAAGCACGTCGCGCGGGCTTTTCGTGATCTTCCTGTAGATCGTCTGCAGCATCTTCACCACCACCTCGTTGTGAGCGTCGAAGGCGGTGGCAGCGATGCAGAACACGCGATCGCGCTCTTCAATCGCTCCAGCGAACGTGAGTCGAGGGCGTGACAAGCAAGTCAAGCATGAGCCACGGGGGAAGTCCTCGGATACAATGATGTCTCGGTGCTGCATGACGTCGGGTGTCTCCGCGTAGTAGCCCGCTGCTTCCGCATAAGTTATCCGAGACACTGACGCTGTCTCTGAACCATTGTTGGTCTTTGCAGGCGAACCCGATCCTGAGTCCTCTTGGGTTTGTCGATGCTGCACCAGTTTGATCTCCCGCCACTCGGACGCTTCGTCGACGTCGCTCTTCTCGGTGATTGTCTTCGTATCTTCGGCGTTGTCACCGACAGCGTTAGCAATGTCGGAGCCTCCGTGATCTTCGACGTTCTCTTCACTATCTTCGTCACCGTCGGCTTCCTCTGCTATAGTCTCGGTGGCTCCTTGTGTTTGACTGAAGATGCGCCCCATTACGGACATCGACCGACCAATTTCGGGGCTCTCAGTCGTTTTCGTTGCATCAGCGCTCTCGTTCTCATCCATCAGGACCTCCTGGTCCCCAAGACCTCGCTTATAGATGCTGTGCAACTCCGTCAACGAAAGAACGTCAGGCTCAACGGCAGCGTCAGTCGCTCCGACAGCTACGGGTTCAGCCTGAGCTGTCTCCGCCGCTTTGTTGCTCTCAATGAGCTTCTTCTCCTCGTCCGTGGCCCGTTTGAGCTCCTTTAGCAGTTCTTCCTCTTCCCTCCGCTTCTGAGCCTCCAGCGACTCTCTCCGAGCTCTGAGCTCGTCTTCCGACAACAGATTCAACTCTGCAGCGGGCTTGATGTCAAACGCGAACTCGTCCTCCTCCGCCTTGCTAGGACTGGCGCTGCCGGCAGTTGCCACTGAGAACGACAAGTCGCTCGTCAGCTCCATCTCGTTCTCGAACTCGCGCTCGTCGGGGAACGCCGGGCCGCTAGGCAGCGAGTATCCACCATCGTCCTCGGCAGCGTGAGGCTCGTCAGCTTTCTTGCGCATGCTCTGGTACGAGATACCAAACGTAGCGTCAGCGCTGAGCTTAGTCGCGTTGGCCCCGCCGGCCATTTTGTGGATGTCCGAGAAGGGGCTACTAGGCTCCAGCGTCGTGACGTGTGCAACCCGAACTTCCTCCCCGAAAGAAAGGTCAATCGCGCTCGTATCGCTGGCGTTAACGCTGGGAAGTGCCTTCAAAAGGGCGTTGTCTTCCTTATCAGCAGTAGCAGGTTGGTCTCTTGGTTTTGACACTTGCTGGTCCGTCTCAGCGCGTTTCTCCATCCGCTGCTTCTGCTCGATTTCCAGCGTACTCACCACTGCCGCATCGACCTCCAGCACATCCTCGTCATCGTCGTCTGGGTCGTTCAACTGCAACGGAGGTGGCGCAGGTGTGCTCTCATCGTCATCTTCGCCCTGGGAGCCGTCTGAATCATCATTGTGGTCTTCCACGGGATTCATAGAGCCAACGATGACAGGGACGGCTGCAGGTGCTGGTGGAGGCACAACCGGAGGGGATGAAGCCGCCTCCGCATCATCATCGGTAGTCTCGTGAGCTGGTGGAGGCACAACCGGAGGGGATAAAGCCGCCTCCGCATCATCGTCGGTAGTCTCGTGAGCTGGTGGAGTCGGTAGTGCGTCCTCCTCTTCTTCTGCGTCTGCGTCTTCATTCGCACGTAGTTCCGATTCACCCGAGGTTGGAGAAGCAACCACAGCATCAAGTATGTCGGTCACTGCGGCTGCCTTGTTGATAGAATCCTCCTCATCACCTGCGCTTTCCTCTGAGGGTTCGTCTGTTGTCGGACTGGCGATCGCAGCATCAAGTATCTCGGTTACCATGACAACCTCTTCGCCTTCGTTGCCCTGGAGTGCGAGGTTTGTCAAAAGCTCACCCTCAGCTGAATGGCTCGATATCTCTTGACCCTCTTCATCCTGGGCACTGGTTTGCTGCTGCTCTTGAGTCGGGAGCGCTGTTTCATGCGCGTTTGTATCCTTCACCTGCTGCTCTTCGTCCTCGTCTCCTTTTTCATTGGCGACCTCGTCTTGTGCGTCTGTTGCAAGATCGAGAACGGCTTGAACCACGTCTTCGCTAGCAATTGGTGAGGTTTGCTCCGGTAGAGTGGCTTCAGGGGGAGTCGATGCGCTATCCTCATCGACAGCGTCTTCCTCCATTTTACGCTCGTCTAAAGTTCACACAATTCATACATATCGCCGTCAGACTACACAAACGAAAGCAGGTTCAGCAAACCAAGCACAACGCACCAGCACCCGGCAGCTGTGGAGAAGAAGGCACCGACTCGGAGTCGTGGAACTCGTCTGCGTTGTCACCGAGCGCGTCGTCGTCTTCGTATTAACAAGAAAGTAAAAGGAGCAAAGGCGTCAGTACTTTTACTCTGGAATCCCAAAGCACAGCTGAGCCCAACCATCAAGGTTCGTCACTGCGTCCAACTGGCTCAAGATGTTGTCTGTAGTCATCTCCCCCGGGCCTAGCAACGCGAATCCACGTCAACAAACAACCACGAAGACAACAACCCGCAGCACAGCGCCTCGCACCTTCCCCGTCCTGGTCCGGGTCCGCATCGAAGAAAGCCTCCGCGTCTGCAACAGCAACAACCCAATTCATTCAGCACGTCCAAGCCCATTTTCAGTACAGGACCAAGGCTCTAAACCTTCGAACGTGTCGCCCTCGCCGTCCACATCGTGCAGCAGGTCTGTAGGGGGCAACATGTGGTCAAAAAGGGTCCATCTACACTTCAACTTGCACCCATAAATGTCCACGTACCGTCCAGCACGTCCACACCTGACGGTCCGTCCGAATCCATCGCTCTTGTCGACCACAGCAACAGCACTAACTAACTAAGCTCCTGCCCGCCCCCCTTCTCACTCTCACTCCACTACGAGTATTGGTCTCACCTTGGCCAGGGCCAAAACTGCAACGGCTTTCGCACCGCTTCAGGGTGCCGCCATTTTCGTCCAATGAGATCGCTTCACGCTATTGCGACCGCACTTGGCTTTATTGGCAGAGCCCATCATGGGGACCAAGGCGGCGCTGCGGGAGGTGGGCGTGGTGCTCGCGTGCTTCGCGCGCTTCGGGGGTGCGGCCTTCTGCCTCATGCAGGCGGCTGACACCATCAAGTGCGTGGGCCCGTCCATGCTGCCGACGCTCAACCGCGACGGGGACATCGTGCTGCTGGACAAGCTCACGCCGAGGCTCTGGAAGCTGCAGCCGGGCGAGGTGGTCATCGCCACGTCCGTGTCCAACCCGCGGCAGACCGTGTGCAAGCGCATCGTGGCCCAGGAGGGGGACACGGTCTGCGTCAAGCCGCGCTACTCGCCGTCCGACGTCGAGTTCCACAAGATCCCGAGGGGCCACGTCTGGCTCGAGGGCGACAACAAGCACGACTCGCACGACTCGCGGTACTACGGACCGGTGCCGTACTCGATGCTGCAGGGACGCGTCGTCATGAGGGTGAGCTGCCATGTTGCCAACTAGAGGCCAAGGGGGACTTGGGACTAAGTGTTTGCTGTGCTGTACTGTGCTGTGGTGACAGATCTGGCCCCTCAACCAGTTGAAGTGGATGAAGAAGGAGACCCCAACGCAGCGGTTCCGTGAGAGATAGGTAGTACTTTTTTAAAGGGATTAGTTGCCTGGGTAATAGTCGCTTGGTGGGTTGCAGCGTGCTGTAGACGCAAGTGGGAAGAATCCTCCCCCCAACTCTATGGCTAACCCCTTGTATTGCTCAGCCCCCCCGTGCCGCATTCTACAGATACCGATACGCACAACAGCTTCTTCGCGTCCATTGCAGGGCTGAAGCCTTTTGATTTTGAGTGTTTGGCACAACCGCTGTCTGTCTGGACGAACGGACTGCGATCGTGAGAGCCGACTGGACATGGAGGTCGCTCGGAGCTGCAGCATACGCGTGCTGGGTTGTTTTTCCTTGGCGTGGCGGTGTTGGACTCTGGCAAGTGAGCAGCATTTGTATGACAGTCGCATGCGATTAAGCAGAGTAAACATCGACCTGTAGCCACAAATGTGCAACAACGGCAGCAGATGCTACTGCAGTTGTGCGGTCAGATCGAGATCCCGACCAAGATTTCAAACTGTTGCTATCGTTGTCAAGTCTGTACTGATGCTTGCACAGCTTCTATGGATGTAAAAAATAAGCACATTACGCCAAGGTATCCTGGTTTCATAACTTTTACAACTTCTACATTTTGCTGCGTCTGAACCAGATAACCTTGCCGCATGGGATAACGTGTCCAGCGTTCAGTCGTTTACCGCGCCCGCCTCAAAAATCTGGTAAACTTGCCACACGTTACAACTGCAAACTTACCACCGGACAGACCATTTGGTCTGACCATGGCGACTTCCAGGCTGTGCTGCCCGTCTCAAACGTGCCAACAACCCCAACGCGAACCCGTTTCAAGTGCTGATAGCTTTTCCAAATAATCTCCATGTTCTGGGTACTACAACAACTTGATTGTGCTGCTCAGAAGGCGTGCTCTCCAACACATTTACATTTGCGCGCTCCGGGCAACAAGCAGATAACATCACTTCACCCCAACCGACAAGCTCCAGTATGGGCTTCTTCGACGAGCAAGTGGGCGTCAAGGTGCCGCAAGTAACCATCTACTTCTGGATCATCAAGGTGCTGGCCACCACCGTCGGAGAGACTTTCGCCGACTTTCTCAACGACAATGTCGGCCTTGGCCTAGGCGGAACCTCCGGCGTCATGCTCGTCATCCTGTTGGCCTCGCTCGCAGCGCAGATGAAGCTCGACTTCTACTTCACGCCGCTCTACTGGTTTGTCATCGTTGCGATCAGTACCGTCGGCACGTTGCTCAGTGATAACCTCACGGACAACCTCAACGTCCCGCTGGCGGTGACGACCCCCATCTTCTTGGCGCTGTTGGTGATCGTCTTCGTTTCGTGGTACCACGTTGAGAAGAACTTGTCGATCCACAGCATTTTCACTCGACGGCGCGAAGCTTGGTACTGGCTGGCGGTGCTGGTGACGTTCGCACTGGGCACTTCAGCTGGAGATCTCATCGCGGAGCAGCTTGACGTAGGCTACGGCAACTCGCTCGTGCTCTTTGCTGGCTGCATCGTCTTGGTTGGACTGCTCTGGTGGTTCAAGGTGGTCAACGGAGTTCTTGGCTTCTGGGCCGTGTACGTGCTCACTCGGCCGCTGGGGGCTTCGCTCGGAGACTTGATGTCGCAAAACCCGGCCGACTCCGTGGACTCGGGCTCAAGCTCCAGCTCCAGATCGTCATCTTCTTCAGCGTCGACTTCGGCGTCAATGTCGATGTCGATGTCTGGCTCTGCTGCTGCTACAGAGGGCCTCCCCTCGGGGTGGAAGGCAGGCCTCAACCTTGGCACGACGGTCACGAGCATGATCTTCTTGGGTCTCATCGCAGTGTTGGTGGTCTTCTTGACTGTCACGAAGAAGGACACGCTCAAGGTGGAGCCCGTGCACGCGGACATCGAAAAGGGGGAAGCCGTCGAACCAACGTCCACGACGTCGGTCAACCACGAGTTTGCGCCGCTCGCTGACAACACTGGTCACTAGTGCCCGACACTTTACGTTTGAAGTACTACACAGTCCCAACTTCTGCTAGGACCACTAGATAGGGGACTTCATGTAGTACAAGGTTTGCACGCATTCGTTTCCTTTCGAGCTCAAAGTTTTTCACACGTCACAGACAATTCCCATGCAGATCAAAAGTGGCTGGCCCTACAGCCCATGTTTCGGAATAGGGTTAGGGATAAAGGCATACTAAAACCAAGTAAGATCTCCAAATATGTAAAACATGCTGAAATCATGGACATCCATGTTTCGGTGTTCAGGACGGGTATCATGGCACCCAAATATATTGTTTTCAACACGCAAGACATCTGAATTAGGGGGCAATCGTTCATTGGCCTCACGCCCCAGGTTGAGGGTGCGGTGAGGCGGGTTAGCTTCGAGCGAGAAACTTTGCGAATGAGAAGCCCACGAGTCTCGTAGGCCGCTCGCGCGAGTCGAACTATGCCTAGTCTACTTCGGCCTATCTGTCGCTCGATCTCGTGTCTTCTTCTGTAACGGGGTTACATGGAATAGTGACCCTGTCACTATTCCGGGATGGCTACATCGGTCACTCCCCTGGATAGTGACCCAAGTGGTCTCAGAGCCAACAGATACATTTTGTATGACACAAACTATAGGGAACTTAGGATTTGTATGCAGGCCAAATCTGTACCAACCTATAAATACATTCAGTCTTAGATCTACCGCTTTTCAAGTCAAGTCGTCCCCTTCAGACCAGGGACACGTGAACGGCTGTTCACTGGAGTTTGTATACTCCTGCTTCCTCTGTTAAGAAGTGCTGTGTGCCCCGTCACACTTGGTAGCACTTGTAGTCAATCCTACGCCTACACGGGTAGATTGGACTACCTGAATCGTCTGTGGTCTCATCGAGTGAGCCAAGATGGATCGTACGGAGTTTCCCCATCTGAACGACTCGCAGTACGAGTCCGTTCGTAAGATGGCAGGCATCGTTGGGACTGATGCCCTGCGTAGCTTAGCGGCGGCGACGCCGGCTGAACAGATTGAGCGTATCAACGCGTTCGACACCTACGAGCGAGGGCTCATCGCCCACGTTCAAGGGCTGCAGGCCACTGCGGCCGCGCCGAAGCCGGTGCAACCGAAGCCCCTGCGGCTGAAGGTTCACCCCTTCGAAGGGAAGGAAGGAGAAAACCTTCACTTCTGGGTTCGAGAGGTTGAGCTCGCGATGGACACGGCTCTCGTCTCGGGCGAGCGACTCCGTGTCGCCTTTGCGCTCTCCAACCTTAGTGGTCGCGCTAAGAGTTGGGCGTATACGCGCAAAGCGACGACGCCTGGATGCTTCGCATCATGGTCGCAGCTGTGCGAGCAGCTGCGGGCCGCGTTTCTTCCGGCGAACTACGAGTACCGCCAGCGTTCGCGCTTCCTCGCCTGCAAACAAGGAAGGCGCGAGCTGCATGAGTACATCCAGGAGGTGCGAGTGCTCACTGCCTCTTTGGTGGGGAACCCCCTGCCTGAACACATCAAGGTGACCGTGTTCATGGACGGTCTGCGTGTCGGTCCTGCCCGCACGCAACTGTTCCGTGTGCAAGCAAACACTATGGAGGAGGCGATTCAGATCGCCCTCCAGGAGGAGTACAGCCACAAGCAGGCTCGTACCCCCGCCACGGTATGGCAGAGCAACCCTGCCTCTGGCGGTGCGCCTAATGGTAACTCCGGCAATGGAGCGATCAACGGGCCGGTTCCCATGGTTCTGGGCATGGCCGAGCAGAGCGACACTCGCTGCTACGGCTGTGGCAAGCTTGGGCACATGAAACGTGCTTGTCCCGCGGGAGGACTGAAGAAGAAGTTCTCTTCGAAGCCCTTTGGCTCTAGGGGTCGCTGGCAGAAACCGCGCCCCAGGAACCAGGGGAACGCCGGACATCAGTAGGGGCGGGGCACCCTACTGGGGAAACACTAAGTCTTCATGAGGGGCGTGCGGGTGGCGCACGCCATGGGGACTTAACCCCTGAGAGTCTCTGTACTCTCGAAGCGGAGAAGGGCAGCGGTGGGCTGCTTGTGGTGCACGCGAGTGTACCAGGATACGATCATCCCTTGAGAATCTTGATCGACTCTGGGGCGTCCAAGAACTTTGCGCGCCGCCAGACTGTCGCACGCAATCGCGACAAGTACGCCGATGGCTACGAGGCAGCAAAGGCAACGGGCTGGTCTCGGTAAGACTGGCCGACGGTACGGTGGTAGAAGTACCTCGGGTCCACATGGACCTCACTGTCAAGTTCAAGGACTTCGACAGCACGAGCCGTTCTTGGTCCTAGACATGGACAAGTACGACTTGATCCTTGGCATGCCATGGCTGGAGAAACACGAGCCTTGGATCGACTGGCGCGGCAAGGCCATCGGGGCCAGCCGTCCCCCACGCTCTGACAGAGCTTTGGTGAGTCATGTTCCCACCTCTGGCAGCAGCTGGGGCGCCCGCGAGGGCCGCCAGGGCGCAGCAGCGTCTAATGAGTTCTTGGGGTCCGTCGAGACTAACAACGATTCCGACCGGGCTGGACAAGGCTTGAGAGTGGAGGTGCCGGACAGCACCTACCAGGTGGGTAACGTAGGTCCACACGCGGGTAACAAAGTACCGCAGGCAGCAAGGGCTGCTGGAGAAGGCGCCGCTGGCGTTGGCGTGGGTAACCAAGTTCCATGCGAGGTCACTCAGACCGTCACTGAGGTCACTCAGACCATAACTGATGCGGGAGTCGCTGGAAGCGCTCCTGGTGTGGGTAACCAAGTTCCACACGGCGAGGTGGGTAACATAGTTCCACCCAGCAAGGCGGGTAACCAAGTTCCGCTCAAGGACAAGGCGGGTAACGTAGTTCCGCACGAGATCGAGAAAATCGGTGGTGCCGTCAAGGCGGCACCACGAGACGAAGACGCCCGAGGGTCACGTCGTAAGCCGGGCCTAGTCGTGTGACCGACGACGCCAGTCGCTAGCGACTCCGAGCCTCCAGCCAAGGCTCCAGCCGCCGAAGAGTGTTATCACATCTTCGACGGCGTGACCGGTAGTCGGGTCAAGACAGGAGCTGTCGAGCTTACAGCTCTGCCCGAGGTTTCAGAGTTGCTGAACCTTGAGGAGCTCGCCATGGAGGACTTCTTGGCCGAGCTAAAGGCCGGGGAGATCGCAGAGTTGGTTCTCCTCCGACCGGAGTCCACGTCGGCCGAGTTGAACTCGTCCTCGGTCATGGACCAGACAGTCCTGGAGGAGTTCCAGAGACAGCTCGCGTCGCGCATGGGCTCTGAGATTCTTAAGAACCCCCGAGACCCGGTGTACCCCTTGGTGAAGGAGTTTGAGGACGTGGTGTCCAAGGATCCACCGTCCAATCTCCCTCCGGACAGGGGAATCAGGCACGTGATTGATCTCGTGCCGGGCACGAAGTACTGTGTCACGAGGCAATGGCCTCTTCCCCGGGAGCAGTGTGAAGTCATTGATGCCTTCTTTGCCGCCAAGGCGAAGGCAGGCATGGTGCGGGAGTCGAAGTCCCGGCACTCGACGCCTACCTTCTGTGTTCGCAAACCGAACGGAAAGTGGCGTCTGGTTCATGCTTATAACAAGCTGAACAGCGCGACAGTGCCTGCGCAGACACCGATCCCGCGCAAGGACGTGTTGCTCAACAACATGACCGGCTGCACGCTGTATAGCGCGCTGGACCTGGTGGACGGATACTACCAGATCCTGATGCGCGAGAGCGACATCCCACTCACGGCTGTGAGCACGCCGAGCGGTATGCTCTGGGAGTGGCTGGTCATGCCTCAGGGGCTTTCTAACGCCCCGGCAACGTTCAATCGCTTGGTCACACAACTGTTCCGACCTTTGCGTGCGTTCACACAGACGTACTTTGACGACATCTTCGTCCACAGCCGTGCCGAGGCAGGCCAGACGGCCATGGAGGTGCATCTCCAGCACCTTCGACGTGTGTTCGAAGTCATGCGGGCGAACAAGCTGTACGCCAACATTGACAAGTGTGTGTTCGCAGCTGAGGAGATCAAGGTCCTGGGCTGCTTCGTCAGCAGCGCCGGGGTCCGGGCGGACCCGGAGAAGGTGAAAACCATCGCGGCTTGGCCGCCACCTCGGTCGCAGAAGGACCTACGACAGTGGTTGGGCCTCGCCAACTACCTGCACAGGCTACGCCGAGCTGGCACGGCCCTTGTCGGATCTCCTGAAGAAGGATGTCGACTGGCGCTGGGAGCGTCGCCATCAAGATGCTTTTAACGACATCAAAGTGAGCTTACAGCGCGCGCCAGTCCTGGCATTGCCGGACGAGACGAAGCCTTTCAGCGTAGTCTGTGATGCGTCTGACTACGCAATTGGCTGTGCGCTATTGCAGGCCGACGATGAAGGCCGCGAACGGGTCATCTCGTTCCAGTCCAGGCAGCTCAAGGCAGCCGAACGGAACTATCCAGTCCACGACAAGGAGCTACTTGCCATGAAGTACGCTCTTGTCAAGTTCCGAGTGCACCTCCTGGGCTCGACGCCCTTTGTCGTTTATACAGACCACGCGTCCTTGCGGACTGCCGTCAACACGCCGCATCTCTCACAGCGGATGGCGCGTTGGCTGTTATTCTTCGCGGAATACAACTTCCGTGTCGAGTACAAGCCGGGCAAGTTGAACGTGCTTGCCGACGCGCTGTCGCGCCGACCCGACTACGAGCTTGCTCATATTAGTCGGGTCACGACGGATCTGTATGATCGCATCAGGCTGGGGTACCGAGACGATGCCAGTCTCGGACCTCTTGTGCGGTTCTTGGCCGCTGGCTCGGAAGCCAAGGCCGAGTGGCTCACGCCCCGACAACGTGCAAGGCTGCACCGCTATGAGTGGGCTGACGGTTTGCTCCGCTATAGGGTCGAGCCCGAGGATCCTCCCCGTATTGTCGTGCCCAACGACGAGGATCTCAAGTACAACATCCTGATGGAGGCGCACGACGCTCCATCCAGTGGCCATCTCGGCCGTGAGAAGACGTACGCGTCTGTCTCGCAGATG